GGGATGGGAGAGGGTCCTTTAGCACCCCCCCCCCCATCAATGGTAGAAAAGGCAGTAACGCACATTGCCCCAACACCGTTTCTGCCATCATATGGCAAAAAGGAGAGGAAAGTGCAGGTAGCTCCATTGGAACTACTCAAACTACACTTTCCTCCCCGTAGTGGAGGAATGTTGGTGAGGCCTGTCGTGTGTCGTGTGATGGCACCCATCCTTTCAGCTCATGTTGGCCTACAAAGCCCTAAACGGCTTCGGCCCAAAATACCTTTCAGACCGCATCTTGGCCTATGAGCCCACGAGGACCTTGAGATCGTCTGGGGAGGCCCTTCTCTCGATCCCACCTGCCTCACAGGCACGCCTGGCGGGGACGAGAGAGAGGGCCTTCTCAGTGGTGGCCCCCGGCTGTGGAACACTCTCCCTACAGACATCAGGCAGGCGCCCTCCCTTTTGTCCTTCCGAAAAAGCCTTAAGACATGGCTGTTCGAGAGGGCATTTAATTAAGTGCTATAATAATGTGGTAAAGATGACTGGAATGGAACAAGGAATACGAGATTGGTTACGATTCTATTATGAGACGAAGCGGATTAGTTAGTGTAACTTTTAATTGTTGTATTGCTGTATTGCTAATATGTTGTTGTAACTGTCTTTTTGTAAATTGCCTTTTATGCTGTACACCGCCATGAGTCGCCCGAGAGGGCTGAGAATGGCGGTTAATAAATGCACCAAATAAATAAATAAATAAATAAATAAATGAAAGCAGCAAAATGGGGCAAAAATGCCCCATGTGAAGAGTTCCAATGTTGTATCTTTGCACAAAAGGTATAAAACTAAAACACAAAGAAACCAATTGTATCCTTCCTATCTTGACATCATATACAGTCAAACTTGGACTACAGAGAGTCCCAATTTAATATCATTTTGAGTGAAGAGCCATCGCTTGGCCCTGGTTTTGCTTTGACATATGAGCAGCATTTTTAGTTAAGCACTAGCACCAGAGAGAGCACTAGCACCAGAGTACAGGGCTTTAGGGCTTCACGGGAGCAGCCTCCATGCATCATGCCTCCGTGCCTGGGAGACTGTTGTCTACTTTGTTCTTGTCTGCTTTGAGGAACTCTGAGTTAGTTGATTTTGTGTGGTTTTTATTCCTAATAAGTTTGGCTTCATGAAGAAAGGGAGGGGGAGAGAGCAAGAGAGGGAGGGAGGCTGAGTACAGTATGAAAAAAAATATGCTTTTGCCTTTTCACTTTGTGCTTTCTGCTTCCTTGCTACAAATTTGTGTTTCTGCCATTTTATAGTTGATCTTTTTTTATTGTTCTATGTGAATGTGCATTTATACATTATCTGTTATTTATAAAGTGCATTTTCTTATTTAAAATACATTAAAATGGGAAAGTGGGGTGCAGCGGAACGGATTAATAGCATTTCTATGCATTTCAATGGGACAATTCACTTTGAGGTAAGAGAGTTCTGAGTTAAGAGCTCAGACATGGAAGGAATTACACTCTTAACTCAAGGCACCACTGTATCTCCTACCTGAGGCGGTCTCCTACTCCCTGCTAATAGTTGGAAGAGGCCTGGGTTTGAATACATTCCTCAAAAGAAGTGTGTGATTCTTGGCAGAAAGGAAGTCCAGGCAAGGAATCCCAGGCCTTTGAAAAACATAATATCCTGTGGTTGATACTTAACTTAAAACATATCCTGTGGTTGATACTTAATTTATCATGCTTAGTGATATCATCAGGTGCTGACCCTAGTAACATTACCCTTGTAGTATCACCAGGATTGATACTTTTTATACCCTCCAGCATTTAATAAATAATGATACATTTAATAGAATTCTTATTAGTATTATAATTTCTAACATTTATCAGATGAAACATATATATGGCCAAGCAACATCAAAGTGTGGTCCAATTAGTACAATTATTGATAAGGAATAACACACAAGATGGGAACAGATGTGACAGTTAACATTTGGATGAGTCTAAGGACCTCATCATATTGGCTGCCACAATTGCCACAGATTGTGGTGAATCTAGCAGTGCCCATCAGGGTGTGTGGAAAACCCAGCACCCTACACACCACATTGCCTGACTTCAGTTTGAAGCAATGAAGGGAAATGGAAAAAAGGAGAGAGAATTGGACTTTTTTAAAGCAGTTGAAAAAGTGACAGGCAGATAATTGAGTCTTGCACAGGGAGAAAGGTGGGATAAAAGTAAAATAAATAACCAGGACAATTGGGGAGTATGTTTTTCCAGCATCACACAAGGCTATCTCCAGGTTTCATATTTCAACACCAATATCTCAGAACCTACGATAGTCCTGGGCTGCAATCCTTTCTGTAATAGATCAGGAACCTTATCACACAAGACAGGTAAACTGCAATTGCATCAGCATAATAGCACCTTCTGTTGGGGCTTATCATATTTCATTATCATTGTTCTCTTGCTATCCTGGGAGGAGACATTTTAAAAAGTAATTCTTGAAGGTACATAACAATAATCCCGAATATCCTGTATTTGCACAAGGTCCTTGCACACGTGGTGGCTGGGCATCTCCAGATGTTCTTGGAGAAAACAGATAACACCTATACATTAATGAAGTAAATGTGTTCCTTGGCATTACTTCTCTAAGAGGAAATTTTGTACCAGACGTAGAAATCACATGGAAAGAATTGGGATAGGTTCCAACAGCAAAAAAGAATTGCTATTCAACAACTTTCAGCAAACTTTTTACTCAATGCTAACAATATCTACATGTAAAATGAAACTTCAGGCCAGGTAGGCCTTGCATAAACAAAAACATTTGGGCCTCTAGAGACTATTTGAAATTTTATAAAATTCACCTAGATCTTTTTAAAATTAAAAAACCCATTCAATTATTATTATGATTTTGATTTTAGTGGCTAAACAAATAGCTCTGTGCCTTTTAAAAAAAACTGGCTGGGGCTAATGAAGCAGACAAATCAATCCCCATTCACTGTTTATGTGTGCTCTGTAAAGGATTTTGGAGGCAGCTACTGTTTGTCTTTTCTGTTGCGGGCAGGCAGGCATAAAATCCCCCTTTTTCTCAAACAGGGGATGGGGAGGAAATATAGGGCTAGTCAAGTGTGAAAAAAATTGTATTGAGGAGCTTCTTTCACAAAGGCTTTGTTAACTGAGGAGTGCCTGTATCTGCAGCCATTTCAGTCTGGTTTTAGGCCACCTTATGGTACCAAGACCATCTTGGTTCTACTCTGGTGAAAGTCCAGGGAGTGCTACGTGTTGGTCCTGCTGGATTTCTTTGTGGCTTTCTTTTTTTTGTACCAGTTTAATCATACATTCCTTTATCAGTTCTGATTCCATGTCCATCTTCAGTAATAATTAATATATTTTTCCAATAAAGTGTACTTTGTTAGTAGATAGTTCTTTTTCAAATTCTGATCGTTCTCTTTCAAATTAAATATTTTTTTACTGTCTTGTGTAAATCTTTCTTTCAGTTGTCTATTCTTTTGATCACTTTTGATCATATTGGCCCTCGTGGCCTGGCTGGAGGCATTGTTTTACAGTGGCTCCACTCTTTTTTCTATGGTTGGTTCCAGAGAGTAGCATTGGGAGATTCCTGCTCAACCTCATTTATGGGATGCTGCAGATGCAGCAGTCAGGAGGCTTATTGTCATGTCTTTCTTGGGTATTCAGCCTCTCCCCTCCCGATATCCCCATTGCCTCAACCCTATTTATTTATTTCAAACATTTCTACCCCGCCCTTCTCAACCCCTAGGGGGACTCAGGGCAGCTTACAATTGGCAATAATTTAATGCCGCATCATAAAATACAGAATACAGAATAACAAATATAATAATTAACATGAACTTTAATAAATAAAGATTAAAACAGTATACTTACACTCTGATTAGCTATTGCCCGTCTGGTGGCTGTTTAGCTAGCCATCTACTAATGAATACTCCGCTTAACTTATCCAAATCCTTTTCCATGCCATAGTCAAACATTATAAGAAGGTTTTGCGAGACCAGTCGCTCTTGTTGCAATTGTATAGTAATTGTATAGTAATTATGAGGCAGTGGACCATATTTTAGTTCTTGGGGACCACTGGTGTCCATGGACCAGAGGTTGGGAACCATTGCAATAGAATCACCTGTGGCTGTAGAGGTGCTAGAAGAGTGCCCGAATGCTATAAAGGGATGAATGAGTATGAATAAACTTAGGCTGTATCTTGAGAAGACAAAGGTCTGTGAATTAGTGGTTCTTGGGTATGGAAATTGAGTAGGTTATCAGTCCTGGAGGGGGTTGCACACCTTGTCACTGGAGGCCCAGATTCAAAGTGTCTGGGCACATCTTCAACTGGTCCATCAGCTATTATTTTCCCTGGAAAAGGATTAACTTAATCACAATAGGTTATATCCTTGTAAATTCCCAATTAGATTGCTGCAATGTACTGTATGTGTGACTGCCCATGAAGACCACTTGAAAACTGCCACTAGTGCAAAATGTAGCATCTGGATTTTCATTGGGATTCCACTCAAATATAATATAACACCTGTTCTGAAGAAATTGCACTGGCTGCCAATACATTTTCATTCCAAATTCAAGGTGATGGCAGTTGAAGTTAACCTCTTAAACGGATTGAGACCTCAATACTTGAGATATATATTTGAGATCTGTTGGAGAGGCCCTTCCTTTGAATCCCATCAGTAGGGCAAATACATTGGAGGTCCAGTTGGTGCCAAAGTTGGAATCATTTTATTAAAGACTTTAGGCCAAACGGATTTTCTCCAGGCTGGACATGTGTTATGGATATACAATTCAAGATTTCTTTAACTGTTTTTAAATTGAGAAATTATTTAATAACCATGGTAATTGTTGTTTTAAATTGATTTTGTTGTATGCTTCTGCAAGATCATTGGATAAATGGTGGCATATAAGCATTTTAATAAAATACATTAATGAATATAATAAATAGTTTTATAATCCTCTGCTTCCTCCCACTCACCTTTCTTTTTCCAGTTTTCTAATGAAGTACCGCAGAGATTGCAATTGATATTCATCTAATGGGAGCCCTCCTCATCTTCCCTATGGTGAAAGTGGATTCAGTCTTCTGACATCGGCCAAAGGACAATGGGGTCCAATACTCTGGGGAAAACTGCAACATTGGACGAGCTGTTAACTACCTGCATTAAAATGTTTGGTATGACCCTTCCATTTTTAACTATTTCCTTCATTTGCTTTTCTTTTCTTTTTTTACTGTACACTATGTTTTGGCTAGTGATATGATGCCCTGTGACATTCAGAGCTTAGACAACCTCCTTAAAAAAAAAAAAGGTAACTGCCAGAATCCCAGAATGCAGGGCTGTAGTTTAAAAAATAGTTAAAGATATGTGGTTTGTGAGGCAGGAACAAAGGCCAGCTTGAGAGAAATAAAGTAAATAAAGCCTATTACATGAACTCCATCTGAGGGCTTGATTACACTGATGGAAACAAATCTGTTTGGCAAAGTTTTTGCTATTTCACGTTAGCCCTCCAGTGACCCTGCTAATGCCATACACATCATACTGTGATCTCTATAACCAGCCACATGTTCCCCCCTGTTGAACTCACCTTGCAGTTAGGGAGTGGCCCACATGTCCAATCCTTCGTTATTTTCAGTCACGGACTTCCTACGTTTTCCCCTGACATGAAACATACAACCTTGTCACATGGCTGCCAGAATTGCCTCACATTGTCAGGGGTGTTGGGTGATGGGATTCAATCCCACACTGCCCAAGTCTCAAGTCCTCAGTGAGGAACAGTTTAGTTAGCTTAGTATAGACTAAGGGTTTCCTTTCCTCCGTGTCTCTTGTATGACAGTTGAAATGTATCTAATTTCTTCTCCCCTCTCTGTTTCTGTTCTCATTCTAATTGGTTGTTTAAAATGGATATTTTTCTACTGCAAGCCTTTTGAATCTGACTTCTGCCTTCTTATACTTTAGTATGTGTGTTCTGAGATCGCTCTCTGTTTTGTCCAAGGCTTTCATGGCCGGAATCACTGGATTGTTGTAGGTTTTTTGGGCTGTATGGCCATGTTCTAGAAGCATTCTCTCCTGACGTTTCGCCGGCATCTATGGCAGGCATCCTCAGAGGTTGTGAGGAAAATTGGATTTATATAACTGTGGAAAGTCCAGGGTGGGACTTAGGGTGCATCTTACAGTTAATGATATGTTGCAATTGAAGAAATACATTATTATTAGGGTTTTGGGCTCACTGAATAATCATAGATTAGGACGAGATCTAAGGGGATGCAGTGGCGCAGTGGGCTAAAATGCTAAGCTGAAGAATTTGATGACCAGAAGGTTGGTGGTTTGAATCAACAGGATGGGATGAACTTCCATTGTTTGCCCCGGCTTCTGCCAATCTAGCAGTTTGAAAACATGCTAGTGTGAGTAGATCAATAGGTACCACTTCAGCAGGAAGGTAATGGCACTCCATGTTGTCATGCCAGCCACATGACCTAGGAGGCGTCTATGGACAACGCTGGCTCTTCGGCATAGAAATTGAGATGAGCACCATTCCCCACAGTTGGACTCGACTAGACAATGTCAAAGAGAAACCTTTACCTAGGAAGAGACCGCAATCACCATCCGGTTCAGTTGTCTGCCATCCAATCTGATGAGTAGCAATCCATGCCTCAATATATTGACCTTCACCCTCTATCAACCTTTTAGTTACATATACTTGACCTGCACAAACCTGGTGGAGGCATCATTCACCCATGCTTCAATCGCCAGCAAAACAAATCTCCTTCACTCTTTACCGTTGAAAGTCGGTTTAGAGGGAATAACAATTGTGGAAATACTGTCAAAATCACGATTAAGTAGTGATGGCAAATACAAAACCATTTAGCTAAGTAAATCTAGTAACCGTTTTGTATTCACAGTTGCTATTTAGTTGTGATTTTGCTACTATTGCCACAGTCATAACTCTGCTCAAATATATTTTCCTTGAGATTGGCTGCATGGAAGAAGGAGATCTGGACCGTGAGCTGTTGGAGTCTCAGGTTCAGAGGGAACTGGGCCAGTATAGTTACATATACTTAATGAAGTAGCTGATATAGGGTTTTATTTATTTATTTATTTACATCATTTCTCCCCCGCATTTTTTTAGTCCGGAGGCGACTCAAGGCAGCTTTACAACCAGGCAGTCTTTTGATGCCTTCAACTAAAAACAGCATTTAAAATAGAATTATAAAATACATACATTAGACCTTTAAAAACATATAAAAGACCAATATCTTCACAATTAGGATGATAGCCAATGACAAATTTAGACAGTTTCCTGCATGTAATGATAACTTGTATGTTTGATATTAAACAAAGAAGGAGACGTGTTTTGAAAATGAAGTTATGAAGTAGTCAAAACTGTACAAAGTTCAAACAACCCAACTTCATAATGATAAATAAGAAATTAGGAGATGAAACTAACAAGATGTTCTGAGTGGCTGGATGTCAATGATTGTAATTATGGGGAAATCAGACAAGTTAAAGAAAATAGGTTTCTCGTAATAAAGGAAGATGAGGAGGACACTGTCTGGGAGGTTGATATTGTAAGTTATTTGTTGAAATGGGCCCTATCCATAGTAGTACAGCTGATATACATACAACTTTCTGTTAAGAGGATAGGAGAGTTTTCTAATATGTTCATTTCACTACTAATAATTGTCAGCTGTCTTTTAAATCTTTGTCAGTATCACTTTCAATGTATATATGGAAATATCCATCTGGCTTTCATATTGTTTCAACACTAGTAACATTCAGTAATGCACCTTATCCTGTTTTGAATATCATGCATGTACATATCTTTTGCAGATTGTAAAGGGGAACTCAGTAATAATTATTTGCCAAGAACCTTCCTTCTAATGCACCGATGGTATCTATCCTCAACAGAACTGGCAAGCAGACTTCTCTCCTTATATCCTTTTAGAGAGAAATATTGGTGTACGAAAAATGTGGTTGTCCAATAAACATGATGCTGGGATGTTGTTATTTAAGTTCACATAGCTTGTATATGTTGGGTGAAGGACTAAAATCAGGGCTTATATAAAGGTCTAAAAATTATGTAAATTGCAACTTTGCAAATATTTGTTGTTCTTAGGAGAAATTATTTGTCCTTCCACATTTTAAAAAACATACTGCATACTTTTAAAAATTCTTAATGAATATAAATTTAGTTTCTTATCATCATGGTGATGATATGTTACCTTCAATTGCAGAAACCTCCCACAGGATTGTAAAGCATCTGGGTTTCCCCTGAGCAACATCCTTGCAGATGGCGACTTGCAGTTTCTCAAGTTGCTCCTGACACAGAAAAAAAACACTTATAGTCACACAGACATATTGGGAAAATGTATATAACTACTGTATATTCAATATTGAGAGGAGTGAGGAGCAAAAAATAAACATATAAACAAACAAGCAACAGCAACATGGTTATGGGACCAGGCCTTTGGGTATCTTGCAGATAATTGACAATGACAATGATGATAAGGCTATGGAAAATGGACTATGGATAGGCTTCTGATTGTGTTGTAGCCGCTGAATTTGTTTCTAGATAAGGCTAGACAGCCAGTATTATTGTACTATTATCACTGTACTTTCTATTTTAAACAAATTTTAAACTAATTTAATATATTTTTCATAGGTAATTGCTGTATGTATTATTTGTTATGTAGTGGCATCGAATTGTGCCCACTGTAAACTGCCCTGAGTCCCCCCTCTGGGGGTTGAGAAGGCTTGAAATAAATGAATAAATAAATAAATAAATACATACATATATACATAAACAGCAAAACTATTACAACAGCAGATAAAGCATTTAATTAAAGAAGAAAAATGTACTGTGCTAGAATGACTGAAATCAAGAGGTAGAATGACTTCTTTAACTAATCTACATATAGAAATGCCAATGGAGAAAACTGCAGTGAAATCCGCTTAAAAATCTGCTACTTTATGAGGTAAATAAGAATTTATTCCACCAGGAAGTGGAACAAATTTACGTAGGTACATGGATATCTGAAAGAAGACTGATGGAGGTGGCAAAAGCATTATGCCGGGAGTCACATGATTCAGGAGATGCATATTTGGATCTCCGAAAATCCCCTGCCTTTTCTTTACTGCATTCTGATTCATGGCCCTGAACTGAGGCTAATGTAAGCCTGCATCCACAATAGTTTCACAGTGGAAAAGAATGGTGTCAAAATGATTTCTACCTCAGATGATTTGGCCAAGTCCTCCACCATGCAGAAGAGCTCTGCTTGAATGTTGCTGGTCAAAGAAGGGGGCTAGATTCTTTCCTGACTGCTGCTTGGAACTGATGGATGATGGAGGCCACTAGTTTGGGGAAGGCTTGATTAGATGGAGCCGTAATCAGACTCAGTAGAGTCTGGGGAAGTCACTTTAGAAAACCACTTCCATCATCTACAACTAGCATAGTCTACAATTTGAGAACTAGCTTCAAAAAAGGGTCTCTTCCAAGCTCTGATACAAGACAGCTGTGTATGTTTATCTGTCAATCTGTTTGCAAATTTCAGTATAATGTTTGTATTGTCTTTATTAAAAAAATAGCCCTTGGTAAAACCGGTGATTGTATGTTAGCTGTAATTGAGTGTAATTATTGATAATATGCTAGCCAGAGTAGCTCAGATGTTTTTGGCTTTTGAGTGGAGAACCAGCCATTATTATTTCAATACTGGAGATACTGCATTTCTCCAGTCAATGTGGCCACTGCAAGTAACAGAAAAGACAATATTTTCCTATTAAGAAATTGTGTTTTTTTAAAAAAAAAAATATGAATGAAGACTGATTTTCATGAACCTAAGCAAATTCTGCTACGAGTATATACTTTAAGAATTAATGAGTTGATATGTGAATAACTCTTCTATCATAATTTCAGATACTGGATTTTAGAATTTCCTGCAGAATTCAATCTGGATCTTGGTTTGGTTCGTCTTACTGAGGAGTTTCAAGAATTAGCCAGCCATCTTGGTTTTGAAGACCACATTCACCTTCTTGATATTTCTAGCATGTAAGATTATCATCTGTAATGTGACAAAGAACAATTATTCAGTCAGCATTCTGCAACACTATATTGATCACCATGGTAAAACAGAAAACAAATCCATATTAAGTAACTTTTATCTTAATGTAAATCAGGACAGCCTTTTAAAGAATTTTCTGTCTTTACTCAGTGCTATTGAATTTCTGGGTTCATGTATATGAACAAATATATTGGGATACAGAGGTTTCATTATTGTTTTTTGTGTGATAGCCAAATAATGTTTCTGTTATTCCCTCAGTTATCACACCTTTTACTCCTTAGCTGTGTATACTGTACTTTTTACTGTCCTGCTGCATTTTGGTACCTTTTGAATTCTGAATCTGTGTACGCACTTATTGCTTCCTGCTTCTTCTGAGGGAGTGCAGCACTGCCTTTCATGTGCAGCGACATGGTCTATGGGCGTCAATTTTAATGCTGTAGATACAACACAACTTTCACACACCAGTTGAAATGGGGAAAAAGGAAAGAAACTAAGGATTCTTTCTGTGGACTTTGGGGAGAGGTGTCTAGTGTTGCTGCTTTTGGTAATTTGCCTGAGTAGAATTAGAGTACTTATTGCAAGCGGACAAGCAAAGAGATTCCTCAGAACTTGGGAGTTACTCCTAGTGTTTCAAGTTTTTGCCTTCTTGGCAATCCCAAGCAAAGCTTTTGCAGCATGCCACCTGAGAAGTTTTGTTTTTAGCATTATTACGCTGACTTTCTTCCAGAGTGGAAGTATGGTATAGTGATTTGAGTGTTTGACTACAATTCTGGAGACCTTCTGGGTGACCTTGGGTGAGTCCTGCATTCTCAGCCACAGAGGGAGGAAAAGGCAACCCCTCTCAGAAAAAATCTTGCCAAAAAAACCCTATGAAAGGTCCTCTTAGGGTTGGCATAATTTGAAAACAAAGAGATATATTTTTCAGCCTATATCCAACATTAGAGCTAATCTTTAAGCTGCCATGGAAGTATGGCTGTGTTCAATTTGTGTCCAGTGTGGCCTCGCTCTCCCCATTTAACCTTGTGGTCCGTTTTTGCTTTGCAGTCTTTGTGTGTTCTTCCCCTCTATCTCTCGGGATTTCCTTAAGTTTTTTTTCAAATATGCGACACACTTCTTTACAATTATAAACTGTGCTGCTATGTTTGTTTCTCTACAGCCAGATCAATTATATTCTCTGTGTCAGCTTAGTCACTGTATTAGATGACTGGGGGAGAAAGCCAGAGAGTGAATAACATACACAGCAATAGAACCATAATAGTTTATTATTTTAGTGTTATTTGTTGTCAGTTTCAACTTATGGCAACTCCGTGGCTATGGGGCACTCTAGTAGAGGCCTCTCCTGGGTCTACAGCCCCATCTACACTGTCATATAATGCAGTCTGAAACTGCATTATATGATTAAGGATAGACTCATTATTGTTTTGGGGGCCTAAAGATGTTGTGAAAATGGCCCCTGGTGCATCTATATGGTGTTGGAACCATTTGAAGGCACATTTTTGTTTTTGTTTTGTTTTGTTGCTTTGGAAGGTATAGCATCCTAAAGTATCCTATAGTACAGCAGTTCTCAACCTGTGGGTCCCCAGATGTTTTGGCTTTCAACTGCCAGAAATCCTAACAGCTGATAACCTGGCTGAGATTTCTGGGAGTTGTCAGCCAAAACACCTGGGGACCCACAGATTGAGAACCACTGCTATAGTGGTAATGAAGCATCATAGCCTCCCACAGTTGCCCAGGCCTGTTCTGGAGAAAATATAAACAAAATTGTTTAAAATGGATACTGGAAGAGAAAGAAAAGGAAGCTATGTAAGAATTTCAACTCATCTGGAAACACTTCTGGGGATGGATACAAGAGTGATCTAGTGTCACAATGCATATCCAGTAAGACTCCCACAAATTAACTGAACTGTGTTGCCTTTCCATCTAAGTTTATTCAAAGTCATCCAAATAAATACAAAATGTGGAATATTTCTCACTGATTTGTAATGAGGCAAAATTAAATGTTTGCTTCTCCTTTGGATGATTAGGAATAGCTGCTGCTTCTGGTGGCTGAAATCCAAAATATCTGGAAAATTGGCACCCTTTCCTTTAGCCTTCTTCCAGTTCTAAATAAAAGTACTGGATGAATTCAGCCACATCTCTATTATTCAACATGCCTCTTGCTGTGTTTCATGGTCTATGTTATGCACTGTTGCCATTGTATGCAACTCTAGTGCAACTTCACTTTTTTTTTTTAACAGAAAGCAATAAAGTTGTAAACAAAAGTTATACTAGCCAACTTGATGCCCTCCAGTTGCAATTGATCCCTATCACCCACAGTCAAGCTGGCTCCTGGTCATATTGGCTGGGGATTATAGTTTAAATCTTCTTGCCTGCTCAACTAGAGTTCATCCATTGAGATGTTAAATCAATATTTGTCTAAGTCCCATTGATTCAGTGGACCTACTCTAGTTGAGATTTGCCTTTGTATTTAGACTAATGAAAGGTGATGTCAATTGTCTCCAATACATGTGGGCAGCTTTGATTCAGGGAAAGAATGGATTAGACCAGCATTTCTCAACCTGGGGGTCATGAGCGGAGTGTCACCAAAGACCATCAGAAAACATTTTCTGTTTGTCATGGGGGTTCCATGTCAGAAGCTGGTGGGGATCAGAATGCCCTTTGATTGTAGGTGAACTATAAATCCCAGCAACCAGAACTCCCAAATGTTAAGGTCTATTTTCCCCAAACTCCACCAGTGTTCACATTTGGGCATATTGAGTATTCATGCCAAGTTTGGTCCAGATCCATCATTGTTTGAGTCCACAGTGCTTTCTGGAGGCAAGTGAACTACAATTCCAAAACTCAAGGTCTATGCCCACCAAACCCTTCCAGTATTTTCTTTTGGTCATGGGAGTTCTGTGTGCCAAGTTTGGTTCAATTCCATCATTGGTGGAGTTCAGAATGCTCTTTGATCATAGGTTAACGATAAATCCCAGCAACTACAACTCCCAAATGACTAAATCAATCCTCCTCAACCCCACCAGTATTCAAATTTGGGCATATCGGGTATTTGTGCCAAGTTTGGTCCAGTGAATGAAAATACCTCCTGCTTATAAGATATTTATATTCATAATACTAGCAAAATTACAGTTATGAAGTAGCAACGAAAATAATTTTATGGTTGGGGGTCACCACAACATGAGGAATTGTATTAAAGGGTTGCAGCATTATGAAGGTTGAGACCCACTGGATTAGACTTTCTGTGACTATGATTTCGCACAAATGTTTTAAGACAGACTTTGAAGCAACAACTATTAACACCAATAAGTAAAAGCAAAGAGTTGTTGCTGTTTTTGTGTGCCTTCAAGTCATTTCCAACTTATTGTAACGCTAAGGCAAACCTATCATTGAGTTTTTTAAGATGGACAGGGTGGGACTAGCCCAGTATCCTCCAGTGGCTTTCCATGACTGAGAGAGAAATCAGACCTTGGTCTCCAGACATAGTCCAATGTTCACAGGAATAGCTATTGCTTTCATGGCCTTCTTGTGCTTTTCCTGGAGAAAATCTGACTGTGGGACACAGAGATAGTTTATTAAATGGGCCCTTGATATAATTCAGTAATGCTCTACTTATACTGTATATTTTTATAATTGGATTTGTTTTCAAAGCAGCTGTCTGGGTAGTAATTTGAGCTGCTGTTTTGCTGTATTTGAAGATTTAAGGAAATGTTTTCTAATTTAAACAAAAAGTACAGAAATAATGTTTTGTTCTTTATGTGATCTGCCAATGCTGTTTCTGCTGTGCTTTTGGGCACCGGAACCACCTGAATTCTGCCCTTTTATTGTTTTTTACAGCCCTTCTTATGACTGGATGCGAAGAGTCACCCAAAGGAAAAGAACTTCAAAGAAGGGCAAAGCTTGCTTGCTCTTTGATCACCTGGAACCTATTGAACTTGCTGAGCATCTCACCTTTTTGGAGCATAAATCTTTCAGGAGGATCTCTGTAAGAATTTTTATTAATCAGGATGAATAATTTTTGCAGTTTCAGAATTTTGCAGAATTGTAAAGCACCTGAAAATGAAAATATAGTAAAGCATCCCTCAATTCAATTTCTGTTGTGGTCCATAGCAATTTTAAAGTAAGTCAACGGAGTTTAAATTAATAACAAATTCTTGGGATACATCTTAAGAAGTAAGGTTTATTCCAGTATATACTGTAGCACATGTATTTGTGAATTCAAAGGGCCCATGTAAAAATACAATTTGTTCCCCTTGTTTAGTTTACAGATTATCAGAGTTACGTGATCCACGGCTGTCTAGATAACAACCCAACTCTGGAAAGATCAATTGCTTTATTTAATGGCATCTCCAAATGGGTACAGTTGATGGTTCTTAGTAAGCCAACCCCACAGCAAAGAGCAGAGGTCATTACAAAATTCATCAATGTTGCACAGGTAATTCTATTATTATTATTATTATTATTATTATTATTATTATTATTATTATAGTGGCATTGACCCCAGTACAATGATGTGGATAAGTGAGTGAATCTTATTGCCAATATGTATGGTCATGTGTACAGACATAAAGAGGGAAGAACCCAAGAAATTAGATGTGGGCTGAGTATGAAAAATTGTCCTAACCACAGAAAACATTCCAATCATGGATTTTATGCTCAGAGGTTTTTTTTTGGTTTTTTTTAAATAGATTTAGTAGGTATGAATTATGTTCTTACTTCAGTTAAAATTTTAGTGTGTTGAGGCAAGGACATAATGTATACTATGTATTTGCTAACCCGAGTTACTTTACCAAATCCCATTCCTTTTCCCACAAATAGAGGCAATTAACTATTAGCCATGGTACCTAACCACTATTTGTGTTACAAAATATGTTATTTTGGCCAACATGGGGGGAAACAGTTTTATTAAGTCATTGTTTTGTTTCATCCTGGCTTTTATGTTTGTTTGTCACGTATAGAGGCATTAACTGCACAAATCTGTATAGTTATTAATTGGAACATGTGTTCTTAAACTATAACTTTTTGAACACTGAATGTAGTATTCTAGTAGTAACAAAAAGCCATGTAATCTAATATGTCCACAGAAACTTCGGTATCTCCAAAATTTCAATACCCTGATGGCTGTTGTGGGAGGACTAAGCCATAGTTCTATTTCACGTCTCAAAGAAACACATTCTCACCTTTCTTCTGAAGTTACCAAGGTATGACAGTATCTATCCTCCAACTGGTTCATGTACTTATAGCTGTTATATAGAGGAGCATATCTAGATGAAAATGTACTTTTTCAAAAAGATATGTGTGGGTTTTATTATTGTATATTGTATTAATATGTTCTCTTTAGGAATCTCTGGGTTCTTCAACGCAACTTTGTGGTCAACATCTACCAAAAATTAACCACAGAGATCTTCTGGAAGTCCCTCAGGCGTTTTTGACTTCATCTCCCACAATTCCTAACAGTTGGTAATCCAAAACACTTCTGTAGGAATCTAATGCAATTTCATGGTCAACCTCAACGGAAGATGACCAGAGATGTTTGCTGGAGAACCTAGGGCAGTGGTTCCCAACATTTGGTCCTCCAAGTGTTTTGGACTTCAACTCCTAGAAATCCCAACCATCTAACCAACGGTTGGAATTGTGGGGGCTGAAGTCCAAAACACCTGGAGGACCAAAGGTTAGGAACCACTGATCTAGAGATACCTACAGAGGTGTGGTGGGGGTAATGGGGCAGCAGATTTTTTATTTGTAGTTTTTCTACTTTCGCTGGGGTCCTTGGCTCCTAATCCCTGTGAAACTGGAGGGTCTACTTTACTTTCCACTGGAGTAGGGGGAGTCTGAAAGCTGTCTCATGCAGTCATTTGCCCATTTAGCTCTGGTTATTTTTATTACCAGCATTTATTTAAGGTCTCAGGCAGGTAATTCTCAGACCCTTGTTTTTTTAAACAAAAGATTCTGGAAGTTGAACTTAGACCATTTGCTTGCAAACCATGTATTACTACTCTACTGACCTACACCCCTTGTCAGAAATGCATCACATGAGCTACTTTCCCTTTGGAATCATGGGTCGGTCAAAGCGAACTAGTTTCCCAGTCTTCCAGTATGAGTCTCCTAAGCTCTGCCTCTTTGATCAAAGCAATGCTAGGAATGCTTTTGCAGAGTCTTGCTTCTTCTATGCCTTGTCTGCAGGATTGGAATGAAATGACTGAACTAGTCTCCTCCAACGGAAACTACTGCAACTACCGCAAAGCTTTTGCTGATTGTGTTGGCTTCAAAATCCCAATCTTAGGAGTCCATTTGAAGGACCTGATAGCAGTTCATGTCATATTTCCAGACTGGATCGATGAGAACAAAGTCAACATTGTGAAAATGCAGCAGCTTTCAGTCACCTTGAGCGAGCTGGTTTCCCTGCAGACTGCTTCTCACCATCTAGAACCAAACATGGACTTAATTAACCTGCTAACAGTAAGTTCCCTGATAAATAATGGATTTGGAAAACTTGATCTTTGTCCCATTACTATCACATTTGAGATCAAAAAATGAGTAGTGCTTAAAACTGAAATGAAATCAATATTGTTGAAAATGGAATAGTCTAAGCTGTATGGCAAATTTGGCAATTATTAAACACAGAATGGATTTTTGTAAGGTAGATTTGTTTGGAAAATGGCATTTATAACCTTTTGGAAAAACACCTTTTGGAGATCATAACTTTTTAGAAAAGCATGGCCTTTCAGAGAAGTGCAAAAACCCTGTAGAGTAAAATCTTCTCTTGTAGCATACAACCAGATGTAATTATGCTAGGCAATGGTTTTCAGTTGTTAGACCGAACAACCTCTTATCTCTGATCTGTTAGGAAAACAGAGATTTTGCCAGTGCATAAAAAGCAATGCTTCAGAAGTGTTTTTCAGTTACCCAAAAATATATACTCTCCCATAAAAATGTTATTTCATGCACTCAGACAAAAATGAAGTAGACTTTGATAAAAATAACATACTTGTTTTACTCACAATTTTCATGTGTTCAGCATACACAGTACAAAACTTAGTCCAGTTTCAGATATGTTTGAGATAATTGCCCAAACATCCAGCCAGGACATGTCTCACAACAAAACAGCAAGCGTGTGATCTGAGGTCTGAAATAGTCTGCAGTCTGCTATAGTGATCATGTGGTCTGCAGCCCTTTTCATAACTTCTCAGGAACCATAGAACAAAGGAAGCTGCATACCAGAACATACCAACAGTGAGCAACAGGATCATAAATGAACATTACTAGAGAAGGCTTGAAGAAGGTTGTCATTTCCAACAGATTTAGTGTAGAGGTTTGAGCTCTGGACTATGATTCTGGAGATAATGGTTCAAATCCCCACTTGGCTATGGAAACCAACCTCAGGCAAATCACCCACTCTCAGCCTCAGAGAAAGGAATAGAAGACCATATCTGATCAAATCCTGTCATGAAAACCCCGTGATGGGTTCTCCTTAGGATCACTTTAAGTAGGAAATGATTTGAAGGACCACCACCAACACACCAAGGATTAATGTCTTACCTTCTATGCTGCTGGTAGAAAAGTTTGGTATGATCCACATATAACAGAATGTATGTTCCAGCAATACATAGTAACCTATGTATTCTTTCAGTGTCCTTTCTATCATGATTTATATCTTGATATGGTTTCCCTGATTGTCCAGAAACATTCAAGTCAATCTGACACGTTCTGTGTCTGTTGTCAGAACTAGAGTCCAAGGCTGCATATACAAAGTGGCAAGGTTCTGTTTATCTACCACTACTTGTAGGAAAGGGCTAGTAAACCATAAATAGCTGGAATAGTAGTAGACTGCCATTTTTCTTTTGAACTTTACCTGTGTGGGTGTTGTTTTAGATGTGTGCTTTTATGTAGAATTTTCTCTTTCTGCATGATACTGTACCAAGTACTATCAATTTGTAAAATAGTGCTGATATTTGACTGAAATAAACTTTTGTGTTATATCAAACAGAAGGAATTGTCCAAGAAGAAGTGACAGGAAGGGAGAAGCAATTGTGTCAGGACCCTGAGAAGTCTTTCCAGTTTCCAATTCTCAATGCTTCCCAAAACTGAGAGAACACTGTGTGTTTCTTTCCCTATGACCCCAATCTGCGATGTCACAAGAAAAGCCTTCAGCTGGGGCTATCCCTGCCTGAAAAGGTGTGACTTTTAAGGATGTCCTCAGGAGATGTAGCTAGAATGTTAGAGATTCATCCCTGCAGTTACATTTTATTGGAAAGTCCATAATCTATTGGAAATTCCAGTGCACCATAACCTTATTGAAAGGGTAAAAATTATGTCACCTCTGTCTGGCAAAATGTGAATCTCTATGAACATAGAGATCACTTGAAAACCACAAGTCAAGAATGGTGTAACCTTGTTAGAAATCAAACCTTAGGATAAGTGATATTCATAAAGTATTAGTGTAATAGCACCACAGGTAGCTCAGCTGTTCAACTGAGGAACCATGTCTTTAAACAGCCAAGGATAAAGACAGACCACTACAAAAATATATCTGGTTAGCAGAGGATGGTTGTTTGAAGTAAAATTTGCAGTTGCCCAAAAGATATACACACACTCAAGAGACAAAACAAAGTACGGTAGTCTTCTTTGAAAAATAACATATATTGTTTATTAACAAACTTGTATATATTCAGTATACAGACACATAGACTTTTAAGTGTCTTTAAGTGTATCTGTACTCACTCAAGTCCATGAGCACCTACACCCACCTCCAATGAGGTCTGAAACCAAACTTAGTTAATAAGTCCATAAGCATACTGAACACAAAATGGAGTCCTGAGTTTGCACATGCTCTATACAACCACATCTATAACTCCTCCCACATCAAAGGGGTAAGCTAAACTGGCAAATCAACAAACTCATAAAATGCAGGCTAACAATGGTATATACATTAACAAACAGTTAGTGGAGGCTTGGAAGGTTGCTAGTTGTTGCACATTTCATAATGTCAGTCTTAACAATAGCCCTATTTATCATAGCAGGAGAGAACCAAGGGTCCGGATGCGTCTCCTTCTACTTCCCGCCTTGAAGTTTAAGATCTTCTGGGGAGGCCCTGCTCTCGGCCCCACCTCTATCACGAGTGAGGTTGGTGGGGACGAGGAGCAGAGCCTTCTCGGTGGTGGCCCCTCACCTGTGGAATTCACTCCCCGGGGAAATTAGGTCATCGACATCCCCCCTTGCTTTTAGAAGGAAATTAAAAACATGGATTTGGGACCAGGCTTTCGGGTAATCTGGCAGATAGACAAAGGACAAGCGACGACTAGAATTGATGGATTTGACAATGTGGAATTGAATTTACGGACTCTGAGCTGGCAAATGTTGAACACTAGATTGGTTTTAGGGATTGTGATGTATAATGGATTGTTTTTAATTGTTTTAATTACTGTTATATATGTTTTATTTTTATCTTGTTGTTGTGCTGGCATCAATTTGTGCCTTTTGTAAGCTGCCCTGAGTCCGCCCTCGGGGGTTGAGAAGGGTGGGGTAGAAGTGCGAAAAATAATAATAATAAAAAATACAGTTGTGATGTATTACATTAAATGTCCTTTGACCAGTAGCTGGCCACTTGGAGTGCCTCTGGTGTTGCTGTAAGAAGGTCCTCTATTGTGCAAGTGGCAGGGCTCAGGCTGCATTGTAATAGTTGCCCTAAAGGCGCCAGATCCCATATTATCCTGGAAACAAAGCAGGACCAGCCCTGCATACCACTTGGATGGGAGGCAGTCAAAAAATACCAGGTGCTTTACACTGTATTTCAGATAAACGAACTGGCAAACCCCCTTTGAGTATTCCTTGCCTAGCGAAAACGTATGAAATTCATGGGATCGTCATAAATCAGTCTTTCTCAACCTGTGGATTCCCAAATGTTTTGACTTTCACCACCCAGAAATCCTAACAGCTGGTAAACTGGCAGGGATTTCTGGGAGTTGTAGGCCAAAACACCTGGGGATCCACTGCAAATAGATTGCCATCTACAAGCCACATCTACACAGAAAGAATACATTTCTGAGCCTTCAAATTGTGTATACTTTTAAACCTGGAGTGGGCAAAGTGCAATGTGTGGGCTGCATTTTTGTGGTTACCAGTGGCAGATTTTCAAGTTATTGTTGTTGGGTTTTTTTTTAAAGCTTTTTGCTCATAACTGTCCCCAAAATGATCCAAGGGCATGCTATTTCTTAGTAAATGAAAATGTAGCAATACAGCCCACACTTTAGAGTGGTATTTGAGGCAACATAAAAATAAATAAGGGGGAGGGCTCTATGCCCTCCTGATTTAAATCATAAATTGATTCAAGTCAGATTATTTAAAGGATCTCTTACACTACACTTGTATTACTCTGCCCTGGTCCAAGGATTGAGACAAAGGGGAAAGTTTCCTTATTTGTCTAGCTATTCCCATTGGCAGGAAGAGCCAAGTGAGCGCAATTGAACTGAGTGCACCAACACACTTACTCATTCCCAGTATGCCAGGATTTTCAAAAATCCTGGCTTGCCTTGACAGCTGAACTAGTTTCGTTAAATGACATCATAGAAGCAATGGAGAAAATATCCACATATTATCCAAATGTGGTCAGTTCCACATGTTGGTTCCATATTCCTCTCTTCTTTTTCCACTGTCATCTTTTGGTACTGAATCAGTTTCATGTCTGACATTTGGTAATCTGTCATTCTTTCTGTTATTTGGAACTATTTTTTTAAATAAAAAAAATCCCTGTAACTGATACTTTTTCCACATTATAGATTCTGCTGCAGTGGAAAACCTAACAACAAAGCTATTGTAGAGGAACGAGGCCTGAAAAGAGCTTGCTTACAATTCAGGTCACTTCAGCAGTCTCTGCATTGGCAGCAGCCTCCTAATGCTGAAGTGTACTTTGCTAAATTTTATATAATACACATTGTACAAGGAATGAAATGCAAAATTTGATCCTTTCGGCTTTGAAACAGCTTTAATGAATGGGAGGGAGCTAAGCGTCTCTCTTGGTTTTCTAAAGCAAAGAAGAAAACATGCTAGAAAATTCTGGCCCTGTAAACTAGTACAAGATACCCCTAACGCTTTCAGTGTGGTGATTATAATGATCATACTGATGATGATGATTTAAAAGGCCAAATAACTAGTTATTCACAAATGTATATAACCATTGGGTATTTTGAAGAAGGAAGCACCCAGCAAAGCACATGACAACCGTATCTTTGGAGCAAAAGGCCACATTTTTATTGATTACAGCTGTTAATGAGGCCACGTGAGTCCTAGATCCAGGCATCAACTAACCCACCTGGGTCTCCAGCTGTAGCCAGAGACCTGAGATGACAAGGGAAGTGGCGATGTGGGTGATAGACCTCATTGGATGATCTTCCCTGCCACAAGAAGGTGCCATAAAGGGATCGATCTTCTTGATCCATGCCAGACCTACTGCCACAGCTCACATTCTTAGTCTCTGAACTCATCCTCATTTTCATTACCAGGATGGAGTTACTCCAGGTACTAGATCCCAGATCTATGTCAGGCTCCTACATGGTTGTGACAAACAGTACATATCAAAGCAACATCATACCCCATCCAGAGGTTGGAATAATATAGCGTGAGTGAGTGGACTGATGCTCAGAAGCCGAATGTTTAGTTGGGCACCCAGCAGGAGCTTAAATATGCCTGAGCTGACCTAGGAAAAACCTGCAGTTTTAATCCAGCTTGGACCTACCAGCCAAGGAGCTCAAATCAAGCAGCTTGATCTATGTGTTGTTGAAGGCTTTCATGGCCGGAATCACCGGATTGCTGGAAAACTCACAGCATCCCAGGTTGATCTAGTTGGCTGCCACTTTTGCATCCCTCCCTGAAATAGGACAAGGCACTTAGCCTCCTGAGAAAGAGAGTATCAGATCAGTGGCCATGTGGGAGATATGTGCCCCACCCATTCTGCAAATGCCACACACAGTAAGTTGTGTGGTCTACCAATAGTTAACTTTGTCTTGATTTGAATGTTAAATGATTTTAAATATTTCTCTCCATGTGTGCATGTGCCTTTGAGTTACCTGTTGACTTATGGTAATTTCAGGGAGCAATGTGACTAGAAGGCGCCCTGCAGGGAGAATATTGCTTTATAGTTCTGAATTATATAGTGATTCTAGATTAGATTTTTACCACAATGTTGTTCTGCTTGATTCTCTGAGTTTAGCAGAGATGCTTCAGTTAATGTAATCACTCCATGAATAACTTATCTCCTGGTTCTCCACCATGTTTTCCTCTTTTTTCTTGATAAGGAAAAACCTATGGGGCTAAAAAGAAGGAATAGATATACAATACCTCCTCTCATTGAGTTCTCCATCTGCATGCGCTGAATTTACAAGCACGGCAACATAATGCAAACTAGCCAGCCCTGAAATTATGCAAATATCTGGAGAGTCCCAGGCCTTTTTCTAGTCTAGTGAAAGTGTGACGAATAGCAGTCTTTTGAAAAACACCAGACTGAAAGTAATTTAGAGAAGTTGCTTTTCAATGGGCGCTTTGAAAGTAGAGGGGAAAGGTTATCATTCAGTCATAACCCAAAGCTGTTCATGTGGACATGTCATGCTCTTTTTTTAAAAAAGAGGTTGGATCTAGTAGATGAAACATTCTCAGTAAGATGTGACTATACCTGGCGGTGTACTCTTTTACAAGAATAAGAGAAAAGCACATTGGAGGCGTTGTTGCTCAGTATATCAGAAAGACTATGACTTCTAACAAACTAGAAAGACATGCTGTCCACAAATCCCTGAAATTTTAGACACAGAATGTAATATAGGTTTGGGACTGCTCCATCTTCTGATAAAATAATTTAGATAGAAATCAGAGAGGGAACCCAAGGACATTTTTTTTTAGTTTACAGCTTCTGGTCATGGATGGTTTCATGTACTCCCACAATGATTGGATCTGCATTCATTTTGTGTTAAGTGAGATGGCAAGTTTCACACATTCAACCTCAGAACATCCTGTGACAGCCTTAGAGTCTCCATATATCAGAAGCAACTTGAAGTCATGCACAGCAACAATTTTTATTAAAGTTTTTGAAATATTATCTCATACCCTCAGCTAGCATGAAAACAGGTAAAGTTGGTTTTTAGACTATGGTTTCAGAAATGCTTCAATCAACAATCAACCATGCTGGCTGAGAAATTCTGAAAGATGGATTGAAATTAAATAGTTGGTCCAAACTTGGATTTCTAATGACCTCATTCCATTGAGAGGGGAAAGCATGGGTGGCAGTCTTTGAGCATAGAGAATCGCCCCTCTTATATCATCAGCAGACCTATTTTAAGATCTGCCTCCCCATCACACTCACACTTGGACACTTAAGAGTTGGCAATGCATTCATATTACATTCATCACAAGGTCAGTATTACTTTTTTTTAATCAGGAGAAACAATAATCATCCGAAAACCAAGCAATCCTTTGCCCTGACCAAAGCCCCTTACATTAAAGGAGACTGACACCAGTTTTAAACAAATTCTTTCCAATAGGTTTAAATTGTTCTTCCCCAAACCCAATATGATACAAAATACAGTGATCCAGGTTAAAACCATTTCTTTCCATGGGATCATATTGTTCTGCCCCAATCCCCATAGGATACAAGAAACAGTGATCCAGGTTAAAATCATTTCTTTCCATGGGATCGTATTTTGCCTCTCCATGCATAACAAGAGGCTGAAGTGTCTTACGAGAGGGAAATTTCTCAATGTGATGAGGTCGGTTGCTGGAGTTCCCTCCTTTCAGGTCACTTCTGCCTCTTTTCAACCACAGAGGGCTATGTATGATGGCCAGAAGTAGTTTAACTTCTGTGATGAGCTCAGTGCCTCTCCATGCTTGAAAAGAGCCTAGCTGTCTGAATAATTTCACTACATTCCTTTATGTATTCTTCAAAAATCTGCTTCAGGGGGATTGGTAAATCTTCCAGAATACCTGGGAGAGGGCATTGAAGGTTTCTGAGGTAGTTCTTAATAGATAAGTGAAAGTTACTCTCTATTTTCAAACTTGGGAACATTCTGAGTAGAATTCTGGAGGCACATATACTAGTGGGACAAATCTTTCCATATAGCCTGGTGACAGCACTGTTATCAAATTCACTATGTATCATTCATGTGCTGCCCAGGTAGTGGCTGCTTTATGTGACATTGGCACAAAGAAGGAATATGGCCTATACTCTCCTCATAAGTGCCTCTCTGCTGCAAATTACCAAGCAGTTTTGCTGTAACATAAAGAACTTATGGGAGTTCTCTTGCACTCATTCTTTTACATCATAACTCAAGTAATGAATGCCGTTTTAATTTTTCTTTGATTCCTCCTAGCTTTCTCTGGATCTCTACCACACAGAAGATGATATCTACAAACTGTCACTTGTATTGGAACCAAGGACATCTAAATCGGTATGTCACTGTTACAGTTTTCAGAGAATGATTTGAGAAATTGTTTGAGAAATTCATAACCTGTCCTCCGAATGCAGAAATCTTTTAAAAAGCACAACTGGTAGCATATGTGCTAATAATAATAATAATAATAATAATAATAATAATAAACTTTATTTGTATCCCGCTCCATCTCCCTGATGGGAGATGCTAACAGGAGTATAGGCTTTCCGAAGAAGCACTCTTCCTACTAGAAGGAAGCATGAAGCTCCCACTTCAAACAGCAGGATGACATTTTATTTATATTTATTTATTTCAAAGTTTTATATACCGAGCTTCTCACCTCATAAGAGGGACTCAGCCCGGTTTCCAACCATAAAAACACATACAGTCGGTAAAATATCAAAATACACATTACAATAAAACATTTTAAAAGCACATATATTTAAAACTACAGTGGTCAGTCGTCATACTAAAATCGAATATACACCGTCTTCCATCCAGATCATTGTCTCATGCTTCAAAGGCCTGTCTCCATAACCACGACTTCACCTGTTTCCTGAAAGTCAGGATTGTTGGGGCGGTTCTAACCTCTGGCGGGAGAGAGTTCCAGAGTCACGGGGCCACTACCGAGAAGGCCCTGTCCCTCGTCCCCACCAGCCGCGCTTGTGAGGCCGGCGGGACCGAGAGCAGGGCCCCTCCAGACAATCTTAGTAATCTTGATGGTTTGTAGGGGAGAATATGTTCGGAGAGGTAAACCGGGCCGGAGTCGTTTAGGGCTTTATAGGTTAACACCAGCACTTTGAATTGTGCTCGGAAGCTAATTGGCAGCCAGTGGAGCTGGTGTAACAGCGGAGTGGTGTGCTCCCTGTTCCCAGCACCCGTTAGTAATCTGGCTGCCGCACGTTGTACTTGCTGCAGCTTCCAGGCAGTCTTCAGAGGCAACCCCACGTAGAGAGCGTTGCAATAGTCTAAACGGGATGTAACCAAAGCGTGGACTACCGTGGCCAAGTCAGCCGCATATTAATTTGCCTTATTAGTGTTGTTGTTGCTTTACTGTCAGAGATGGGGAAAAATACTTGAAGGTTTTTTTTCTCATGTGGAAAACAAATTAGCAGGGCTTGGATACAACGCATATTGTTTTTGGAATCAGGCAATCATAGAATCATAGAGTTGGAAGAGGCCAAAAAGGCAACAAAGCCAACCAGTCCAACCCCCTGCCATGAACACACAGTCAAAGCAATCCTGACAAATAGGATTGTCATGAATTATTACACTATGTAACATGAATTATTACACTATGCAACATAAAAAAACATGTTCCTGGTTAGAGAGCGTTATTTCTTGTTTAATTGTGCAGTACTTACTTTGAAAGTAATTGTTATACTCCAGAAACTTCATTTTTGAGGCTGCTACAAACTATGTTGAATTGGGTTGTTGTAGGTTTTTCAGGCTATATGGCCATGTTCTAGAAGCATTCTCTCCTGATGTTTCGCCTGCATCTATGGCAGGCATCCTCAGAGGTTGTGAGGTTGAATGCTGAATTGATTGAGACTCTTTATTCATTTAAAAACTATAGCAAAATGTACTGCAGGATGTCCCACAAAAACTAAGTTTTTGCAGCTTAATAAACTTTTTCATGTTTTTTCAATAAAATCAATTAGGAAATGACATTTATAAACTAGGAACAATAATCATGTTACATAGTATTATCAAACAATTAAAATGCAACCATCTATTCATCATTCAGAAAGTCTCTAATCTGCCAAGGGGTGGAGTGAGAGGTATTAAGCCCTATTCACACTAAAGCCTAAGCATGTTTTTTTCTGATTTAATTGCTAGCAGCCTACCTCTCCAACAACCCCTAACAAGCCTGTGGTGCCCCTTGAGTGGGCATCTGGAGTAATACCAAAGCCTGATCCAAGCATCATCAACAAACACATCCAAAAGCTAGTTGAGGTAAGTATTTCAAAAGTGCTTCATCTCGGTGAGAAAAATGAAATGCACATGCTTAAAAACAGCATATGTGAAAACAATCCAGTAGATCACAAAGTAAACATGAGTTGGGTTGTGGTGGACTAAAATTCTGTGTAGTTCTGGGTTACCCCAGCATTATAATGTCCAGATTAAAGGCAGAAGCTCTATTGTGTTTTGACCAACTTCAACTGGAATACATTGTTCAGTTCTGGGCACTGCAGCCCAAAAAGGACATTGATACACTGGAACATCACCAGTTGAAGGTGACTAGATGTTCATAGGTCTAGAAACCAGGCCTTATGAGGAATGATTTAGAGAGTTGTGTAAGTTTAACTTGGAGAAGATTGAGAAGTGATATGATCACCATCTTTAAATATCTCAAGGGATATAATGTAAAAGTGAGAGATTTTTCGCTGCTTCTCCAGAGTTTGGAATATGAACCAATGGATTCAAATTACAAGCAGAAAGTATATACACTTTTTCGAGCGTCTTCATTTAGGAGTTAACTATGTTTATATTATTTGCCTTCAGTATTAAACATGTTCTCTTCTACTGTTATCACCACCTTCATTGTATTATTTCATTTTCCAGTCTGTTTTTAGAAACTATGACCATGATCATGATGGCTATATCTCTCAAGAAGACTTTGAAAGTATAGCAGCTAATTTTCCTTTCTTGGACTCATTCTGTGTATTAGACAAAGATCAGTAAGTGGACTTGTTCCTGTAAGTGTTTTACAGAGCAACACTATGCTTATTTATTCAGATGTGAATCTCATTATGTTCAGTGGGGTTATTTTGAGGTTAATGTACGCATGATTGTAGTCTCATTTTATAAATCACTTTCATTTGTTTTAATTGTCTTCCTACCGATTTATAATGATTGAGATGGGTGTGGTTTTTTTCCTTTTTCTTAGTAATTGCCTTAACACACCATGGAATTGATTATTAATATTCTCATTCCATATAAGTCTAAAGGAGTACAAAGGATTTTCTGATATATGTATCTGTATGTGTGCCTTCAAGTTGCTTGTTGGCTTATGGCAATCCCATGAGTTTCATGTGATTTATTTCGGGAAGGAATATTCAGAGGTGTTTTTTCCAGTTCGTTCCTCTGAAATATAGCCTACAGTACTTGGTTTCCATTGGTAACATACCATCCAAGCACTGACCAGGACTGACTCTGTTTATCTTCCAAGATCAGATGGGATCTGGTGCCTTTAAGGTATTTAAGCCCTTCAGAATGTTCTTAGACGTAAACTATTCAATACAAGCAGATGGCCATACTGGGATATGTGCCCAGACCTTCTCATCTCTATGAGGCAGATCCTATGCACACACCCATATCACTATTATTTATTTATTTATTTGCCATATTTATATGCCATATATTACTACATCGGCAAATAAACAAAAATGTTAAAACCAAACCCATTAAAAACATAGCATTAAAAATTCTGTTAAAATCACATGATCCAAATCATATTCCAGGGCCAGTCCGAGTTGTCATTATATTCATTTGTAGTCTCATATTGCACTACTCCTTTTAACTGGCTGAAAGTCTGATCCCAGAGCCATGTTTTCAGTTTTTTCCCGAAGGTCAGGAGGGATGGAGCAGATCTAATTCCACTGAGGAGGGAGTTCCATAGGCGAGATGCCACAACTGAGAAGGCCCTCTCTCTCGTCCCCACCAGTCGCACTTGCGAGGGGGGTGGGACCGAGAGCAGGGCCTCCCCCGATAATCTCAACCTCTGAGGTGGGTCATAGAGGGAGGAATATTCAGACAGGTAAGCTGGGCCGGAATAATTTAGGGCTTTATAGGCTAAACCCAGCACTTTGAATTGTGCTCGGAAGCAGACTAGCAGCCAGTGGAGCTGACATAACAGGGAAATTGTGTGTTCCATGTACGCCAATCCGGTGAGCAATCTTGTTAGGACCTGTTGGACCATTTGAAGCTTCCAAACAATCTTCAAAGGCAACCCCACAAAGTGCTCATTGCAGTAGTCTAAATGGCTGCTCAGGTTTGATAAGTTCTTCTAATGGAAAAGCTGATAGATCTGTATACCTTCACAAGTATGCATTCCTTCACAGATAGAAAACTGGTTTCAACAGGATGTCAGCCACTATGACGAGTGCAAATTAACACTTGTCAAGCATAGTATATTATCTTGGCAACCCTTATTTATTTATTTTATTTATTTATTTGACTTGTATATCGCTACTCCCAGTTTGGCTTGGAGCGGTTTACAGCAGTAGATTAAAACAGCAGTAGATTAACTTTAAAATACAATAAAAACAATAACAGACATAGTCCCGAGTTATTCACCCATCAAAAGCTTGTCAGAAGAGAAAGGTTTTACAGGCTTTCCGAAAAGCAAGTAAATCTCGGATAGATTGGGTTTCAACTGGCAAAGCATTCCATAAGGCTTTTTTTTCCTGCAGTTATCATGGACAAACCAAATGTTGCAAGAGAAATATGGGATTCTGTCCCAATTTCTAACCTTTTATTATAACTCACTTACTCAAATAAAGGCTTATCTAGTGCATCATTTCACTTTCAGTGCATCAACCAGACTCTTCCAAGCATAATATGACATCAGTAACATCCTTCCTTTCATGTTTCTTAAAAACTAGTTTTCAGAAGAATGTTAGTATTAGAGATCACGGCTGGCATTCTTTTGGTGACATAGATATTTTTATGGTCAATTCCTACTGCAGAATTCAGATCTGTCAACAAGACTGATCCTATAATCTCTGCTGATGTGAAGGATCTTTCTATGGTCATTTAGTGGTAAGGTAATTAATGAGGGCCCCCTGGTGGAGCAGTGGATTAAATCACTGAACTGCTGAACTTGCTGATTGAAAGGTTAGCAGTTCGAATCTGGAGAGTGGGATGAGCTCCCACTGTTAGGCCCAGCTTCTGCCAACCTAGCAGTTCAAAAGCATGCAAATGTGAGTAGAACAATAGGTACCGCTCCAGCAGGAAGGTAATGGCGTTTCATGCAGTCATGCTGGCCACATGGCCTTGAAGGTGTCTACGGACAATGCCAGCTCTTCGGATTAGAAATGGAGATGAGCATCACCCCCCAGAGTCGGACACAGATAGACTTAATGTCAGGGGAAACCTTTACCTGTTTAATTAATGATGGAGTTGACCATCGTTATAGCTGTTAACAGTGGATAACATCACCTTCCTGGAGCTGGTTGTTGCATAACTGAATAACTTGGTTTCCCATAGTTATTCTCTTGCCACTTAAAAGGTCATGGAATGGAGCACCCTGGAATTAGGAAGTAAAATCAGGGTTCAAGGAGGAGCAGGACATTTGGGACTCCTAGCAGATTTTACACTCTGCCAGTTTGAGGTAGGATCCTGGGATAGATATAGCCACTACAATTAAGAGCCCCCCTTTTCCTTAATGCTCTCTTTATAATGAAGACAGAGAGACTGTTTAGAACTTACTGGGGAGAACCAGCACTTAACCTTTTCCATCTCACTACTCACTTTTTCTTATGCAAATATCTCCCCACCAGTAAAAATTTCCTTCCAAGGGAAAAAAGCAGGTATGGGAGAGGTTAAAAACGTATTCCCTTTCTGCATATCAAGTGCCCAGCCATGCATTTCAGTAAATATGAAATGTTAGGCACATATTTTTGGAGATTAATATCAGTTGGTTTATATTGGAATATTTTAGAATTGGAACAAGCAGGCAAGCTAGAAAGCTGTAACTCTTTAGTAAGAAGTAACATTTATTTATTTATTTATTTATTTATTTATTTATTTGCAGTATTTATATTCTGCCCTTCTCACCCCACAGGGGACTCAGGGCAGACTACAACGTACACATATATGGCAAACATTCAATGCCAAAGACACACAACAGATACAGACAGACGTCAGAGGCTATTTAACTTTTCTGGCCGCCAGAGGAGCTGTCGCTTGTATTGTCCATCTGTGACACTGATGTAGTACTTCCGCATTCCCCGCATGCTTTGCTGGAGTGCTTTGCTGGAGTCTTTTTTATAACCTCATAAATTAGTTAAATTAGCCTCCCCACACATAGGTGGTGCCTAATTTTCCTATTTGACAGATGCAACTGTCTTTCGGGTTGCAAAGGTCAACAAAAAGCTACACCGTTGGTCGGAAGCTCACTCCGACCCAGGCTGGCTTCAAACTCATGATCTTTTGGTCAGAAGTGATCTTAATGCAGCTGACACTCAGACAGCTGCGCCACAGTCCTGGTGCTTCCAGGCTTCCTCAACCCATTACAATTATTTGTCAAATACTTTAAAATCATGCATTTAAAAAAAAATGCACCTCTGAAGAAACACTCCAAAGAAGCCCTTTCCATACTTGATGCCCTCCAGAGGGGTGGACTACAACTCAGAATCCTTCAGCCAGAGGATTGTGGAGGTGTACTCAAAAGCCTCTGGTTGACAAGAAGTTATGGAAGGCTTTTCTGTGGCATTAAAATAATATTTTTTTCAACCTCTCTTGTTTCAAAAACAAAACAGAGATGGTCTTATCAGCAAAGGAGAAATGATGGCTTATTTTCTGAGGGCCAAATCACAACTGCAATGTAAAATGGGACCTGGTTTCATACATAACTTCCAAGAGATGACCTATCTTAAACCAACTTTCTGTGAGCATTGTGCTGGATTTGTAAGTATGCCATTTTTACATCCAAAAATACCAAGATATATATGTTTTCTTTATGAGTGTTTTGCATATGTGGCTCCATTTTTTAAAAATTGGATCTATTTTGAAGATACAAGTAAATTAATGTGGCTGCGGACTAACAATATTTGATGAGTGGCTTTTGTTTAAATATAAACTTGGAAATGGGTAATCTGAATAGGATTTCAAAGCAAGGAACGAAACAGGCTGATTTATCAGTTGAAGGTTCTGATAATTGTAGATGTTTATCCATGTACAAACATGTATCAAGTTTAATGGGATGGTTATGTTACCAAAATAAGCTATCTGCCACCCAGAGGAGTGTAGGTTCATTGCTCAGCATGCCATGCTACTTTGACAGCCAGGATAAAGGTACCGGGTTTGAAGGCAGTAACAGAAGTGTTATTCATCTGGCCAGATAGATGCCAAAACAGCATAATAGCTCCGAAGAACTGACATAACATATAAATAAGCATTTTATCCCCTTTGGCAGCTATTTAGAAGACCTACTCCCTCCCCTGATTAGCTCAGGAATGGTCAAGTTAGACTCTCACCTGTAATTGTCTGGGGACTCGCTGTGATGTCAAAGGTGGATGGAGTCTCCCTTGTGGTGGGAAAAATGGAGAGCTGCTATTTGTCCATTTGAAGCTGGAGCCATTTGAAATATCCTCCCAGGAGAGAAGGCATTATTTGGGAAATGTTCTGAAATAGTTTATGATGGGACAGTAGGTACTGATATCGAGCTCTTTTGGGGGGTCTCTCCAAGGGGGGAGAGCCCTAGGACTACACCAAAGAGAGTCCTGGATACCTTGGTGAGATTTTTCCGGAAGCCAATCCAAGAGCGCAGGAATATTTTTAATATGAAATCAGCTCACCAGAGGCGGAAGAAGTCCAACGATCGAGGTTTATTTGCGATTCAGCTGAGTCGGATGCAATTGTAGGGATAGTTCCTCTACAAGCATCCAGATACAAAGATTTCAGGCATTTTTATACAGTACAGGACAAAAGAAAGCAGTTTGAAACTCCCGTCGCCCCTTGCTGGCCGGCTTGACGCTGATTGGCTGAGGCTGGAACAGCTGGGAGGAGGCTTGGCGGCCCGCCTCGGCTTTCAGCCAATCAGAACGTTCCTGCACCTCGGGAGGGCCAATGGGTGCCCTCCGCTCGCTTCTGAGTTTGGACCAATCAGGAGCGAGGAGGGCGGGACGGCCGCAGACAAAGGGGAAAGATTATGGGATTTGGATTTCCTGCCCGCTGGAATGCGGGCTTTGTCTTGGGTGGGAAAAGGGTGATATTTGGTAAACAAAGAACTTTCCTGTCCTTGATGGGTCTGGCAAGTGATTTGAATGGGCTAGATCGATATCGGACCACCCGGAGGGTCAACAAGATCTGGGTGAATTAATCAGTCTCTTTTTCCGAGGCTCTGCTGACCCCCCTTCCCTTGCTGGCTTTGCTCCGAGGGCTAGGGTTGGGGATCAGCAGCATTGTCCGTGCTGATGAGTCAATCAATGGGTGATTGAGGAAGAGGCTAGGGCTCTTTCCTCAGGCAGTCCCTGGTCACGCCGGTTTTTGTGGGGTGAGGGTCAAGGGGGTGAGGATACAGAGGAATTCATAAGGGTTACATATATCATAATCATAAGGCATAGGCATCACTAACTTACAGGCATTTCATATTTTTTCAACCCACAATCCATCCCAGCCCCAGTTCATTACAGTAAGAAAATATCTTTATTTATTTCATAAAAAAAGGGAAGGAAAACTGGAAATCCCAAAGTCCAGGCAAAGGGGCTTGGAGGTGGAGGTCGGCCCATGGTCCAGGCCGGCCAACAGAAGATCGGTTCTTCCTAGAAGCAGGAGCTGGAGCTGAAGGGGGAGCTGGGTTCCACCGCTCTGTCCTTGGTAAAACTAGCGCTCCCAACCGAGGATCGGGCCTCCCTGCCCAACCCTCCTCTCCCGAGGCTCTTTCTTGGACAACGGCGGTGGGTCCCCGGCGGCGGGGGCCATGCGGGAGCGAGCGGCAGCGAGCGGGATGAAGCAGTCCGGAAAAGCCGGCGAAATTTGACAATCAGCTGTTGACTCGGCCAGATTTAATATTTAAACAAAAACAATTATTTCCCGGGTGCAGGAGTCCAAAATGAGAAAACCAAGATGGCAGTTAGTCTTAGAATTTAATGCAGAAAAATATGAAATTTGAACGGGGCCGATCCGCCATGTTGTTGTTTTGGCGGATAAGGGGGCCCATTAGGAAAACCTCCGTATCCGCGGTTTTAACTAACGCAGATTTGGGGGCCCGGGGAGGCCGGGAAGGCATCCCCGGTGAGCTCACGGTTCCCCGGAGCTCAGAAAAAGGTTTATTTTATGTTAGAAAAGTTTCAGTCAGTAAAGGACACAAAGTATCAAGCAGAAAGGATTTAAAGTTTCAAATCTTAAGTGTTTTATTAGGGGCTTTGTTACAAAGAGAGGGAGAGGGGAAAGTGAAAGAAAAGCTTCATGCAGCCTTGAGTTTAGCTTGAGCTGCTCGCTGGGGCACATTCCATCAGTCAGACCCAACTTGGTTCTCCGGAACTGCGGAACTCCCTGCTGCGGTTCAGACCAGCTTGAAGGCGGGAGATCCTGCCGCCTGGGGGGATATCAGTACCAGAGACAAAAGACAAAGCTTATGCAAATAGTAAGTCTCATTGAGCTATATTATAAGGTGATGTATATTCCAAAACATCTGAGGAGACAGTCCATACCAAATCCTAATGTTCCGACAAAGGGATATGAAACAGTTTATAGGGTTGTTGTAGGTTTTTCAGGCTATATGGCCATGTTCTAGAGGCATTCTCTCCTGACGTTTCGCCTGCATCTATGGCAAGCATCCTCAGAGGTTGTGAGGTCACAGGATGCTTGCCATAGATGCAGGCAAAACATCAGTAGATAATGCCTCTAGAACATGGCCATATAGCCCGAAAAACCTACAATAACCCAGTGATTCCAACCATGAAAACCTTCAACAAAACAGTTTATAGTCTGTTAGTATCAGTCATAAAGAAAGGAATTTAGAGAGGCAAAAATGTCTGTAGTAACCCTGAAGTTGTATTCTAAGCATCAAGCGGCAACCTTGGTAAAAGTCAAAATAAAATGATTCCATGCAAATAAAAATAAAAACAGCTTCTGTGTAGGTAAGGATTCTTCATACAGACAACAACAAAATGCAAAACATGATAAGGTCTCCCGGGTTGTTCCATCTTGTTTCGTTTAAATCTTCTTCAGGTATTCTGCCTTTCTTTACATTGCTGTTATTTCCATGTTGTGTGGACTGACTCTGAATAGAGGAATGAAACAACAATGTTTGGGAAGTTCTTCCACTCCATAGAACATTGAAGTAACAGCAATGTAAAGGCAGCAGTGAAGCAAGGTGGAACAACCCGGGAGACCTTTGTTGCAACCCTGTACAGCATCTCTCAGTATAAACAGTCACTCACTTTGCTCATCATCAGTCAGTCCAAGGTCAAAGCAAAAGTAGATTCAAGCAACAAACTATGCAGGGATAATCCAGAAGGTATAGTCAATCGTCCAGTCCAAAAATCCTCACCAACACAGCCAAATATCTAAATGTCACCATAAGATGAAGCAAACTTGCTATCTGCTGCTCCAGAGACTAGGGTGCATCCACACTATAGAATTTCTTGCAGTTTGACACCACTTTAACTGGCATGGCTCAATGCTATGGAATCCTGGGAGTTGTGAGCCACCAGGACTCTTTGGAAGAGGAGAGAAGGCTAAGGACCTTCTAAAACTACAATTCCCATCATTCCATAGCATTGAACCATGGCAGTTAAAGTGGTGTCAAACTGCAAGAAATTCTACAAATTAAATATACCCAGTGCTGTTTGCTTTTCATCACAAGATTTGTAATAATTCTACAGTTTAGATGCAACCTGGAACACAAACCGATGGATCCAAAGTACAAGGAAAGAAAAGAATCAGACTTAAAAAATTGACTAACTTTCCTTTTTTGGACTAAAATTTAAAGAAAGATTACCTATCTTTTAGGAGTGCTTTAGTTATGTATTCCCACATGGTGCAGATTTGGACCTTTGGTTCTTGTGATTCTGTGTGTATTCAGATAACTTAACCCCACTAATTTCAGTAAAAATTTTCCCTCAGGTAAGTGCATGCAGGGTTGTAGTCCAATTGTTTGCTTGGTTTCAATCTAATCTCAATACTTTCTTATCCAAAATTTAATCTTGTGCTCATATATTTTGGGGAGAGGGACTCCAGGTGTTTAAGAACAAAAATAACATTGTGACATAAGGAAATTAAAAGTTCTTAACCTGGTTCCTTCCAACAGATTAAAGTAAATTATACTGAGTTGAATCACTTCTCCGGTGCTGCCTTATTTGTAGGTCATGGAAAATGGTGAAGGGAAGACCCTCACAGATGAATGGATAGCTCTTTCTGGCAGGAAGTGTGTTGAGAGCAGTAATATCCTGTTTGCAATTCTGTCACCATTGTTCCTTCCTTCATAATGATTTTGCTTCCTTCCTGCTTTCTTTTTTATCCCTTTTGTCTTTCATTACAGCTCTGGGGTATAATCAAGCAAGGCTACAAATGCAAAGGTACTGTAAATCACGCATGGGTGCTGATTTGGGCTCCCTAGTTATTAACCTAATTAATCTCGTAATTGCTGGCAACACAAGACAATACACTTTTAACCTCAGACTAGTAATCTGAAGAGTTATGTGACATGCAGTACTATGCACGCTTGCCTGGAAATAACAGTGTTCAGAAGCAAGTATACATTGAATTGCAGCCTTACACTTGTGGGCTGAGAGATCCCTCTTATCCTTTTTAAAATTAATTTTAGTGTTTCTCTTCCTTTAAAAAAATAATTCAAATTATCTTTGACTGTACACGTGTTTTACCACTGATCATCATTCTCTTAATTGCCAACTCCGATAGTAAGTGCTCACAGCAATGTAGATAAAACAGGCGTCACTGACAATCAAGGGGAAACTACCAACCTGCTTGGGAAATCTTGTGGTTTGAAAAAATACCTGAACATTTAAACACATTTTTAAAAATTATGAATGGAGTGGGTTGCTGTGAGTTTTCTGGGCTGTATGGCCATGTTCCAGAAGCACTCTCTCCTGACGTTTTGTCCACATCTATGGCATGCATCCTCAGAGGTTGTGAGATCTGTTGGAAACTAGGCAATTGACGTTTATATGTCTGTAGAATATAAAGAATGAATATATTTTAATAAAACTTACATGGATTGTAGCATAGATTTTATATTATTTTTCCACATAATCACCATTCAATTCAATACAATTTGTCATCCGTGGGACAAGTTTTTGATGCCTGTGTCATAGAAGTTTCCCTCTGCCTTTTTCAGCCAGTCAGTCACTTCTATTTTCACCTTGTCGTTGAAGGAAATGTGTTTCCCACCAAGGTGTTCCTTCAATTTAGTGAAGAGATGATAATCACTGGGTGCAAGATTGGGGCTGTGAGCAGGGTGGCTTAAAACATCCCAACCAAATGAAGTCAATAATTCTTTGTGTTGCATGAGCAGTGTGCAGACACGTATTATCATGAAGGAGACAGATTCCTGCCGTCAGCATGCCACGACATTTGTTTTGGATGGCTCTGCGAAGTTTCTTCATGGTCTTACAATATATTCCGTACCCATTTTGTCACATGCTATCTTGACATTACATCCTCTCCATAAACTGAAACGATTTCACGAAGAATCACACTGGCGTTCATGCCCTTAGCACTTAGATAGCGTATTGCAGAGCAAACTTTGCACTTGGAGGGAAATGGAATGATGACGCTCATCTCTAACCTTCATCACAATGCCAGTTGACAAGCTACTGATGACTGGCACTGCTCGTTTGCTTCCGCTGAATTCCTCCTACACGGGAGGGATACCAACTTCCCCAAGAAAATTCCCCGGAAGAGCTTTGTAACCTTACTTTCTGGATAACCTTCATACATCATGTGGATTTTTGCCTTCTATAGACTTTAAGTAGATTTAAAATCACATGTTTTTTTCATATTGGGAGGAGGAAAGTAGAAGTAATTTTTGGTCTGGTTATTTATTCCAGATTGTGGTGCCAACTGTCATAAACAGTGCAGAGATCTGCTAGTTCTCGCCTGTAGGAAATTTGCCAGAGGAACATCACTGAGCAGTAACCACGGTTCTTTGCCCAATAGTCCATCATTGCCAGCTGGTAAGTGAAGACCGTATATCTCATGGATGTCACTGAACAATTTTGTTTATTGCCTAGCAATTTGCCTAGAATGCAAGTAACGATTGCTCTGATAAAGTCAAGCTTCTGGTTCTCTAGAATGTTCATATTAACCTTGCCCACATAATTCCTAGGTCCATGTAGACTTGTATAATTCAGTTTAACTGCATGGAACTGCATTGAATGAGTCTATGCTGACCATTTAGGGGACTGTAGTGTCCTGCAGTCACTACTTTTCTATTTTCTATCGTCACTTCTCACATCAGAGTTGATCTTGTGTCTGGGAGTAGTCATCATTATGCAAATGAAGCAACAGATATATTAAAATGGCTCTCTGATGGTAGGCATGCTAGAGCAGTAACTTATCTGTGTTTACCCCATGTGAAGGCCATATTGAATTGCTTCTGGTGTGATGGCACTTATCATTTGAAAATATGTTTTCCACACTGTTGCATAATTTGGTATTAGAAAGATTTCAAACACTAATTACAAAACAACAAGCTCTTCTCGCTTCTTTGGTTCTCCAGTTGCCAACATTGTATCTCTCTCAAATGATTGGTGTGTTGTAGACCTTGTGAAGATGACACAAAAATGCCTCTGACTGCATGTGATGTTGGGAGACCTCTTTGAACTTACCTGGAATAAACAAGACAGTGGATGATTTTCAGTACTAAAGTGTGACCCACTTTTACGGCCATTACTTATTCCTCTTTCCATCATAGTTTATCTCTTTTCCCAGATAGTAGTAGAATGTGCCTTCAAGATGTGTCAAGGACATTCTATGAATCACAGAGGGCTTCCTTAGGCCTCTTGCTCCCACCAGCATCACAAACGCAGCTGGTGGGGACGAGAGACGGCCTTCTCGGCCGTGGCCCCCCGCCTGTGGAACGCCCTTCCAAATGAGATATGATTGACCCCCATCCTTCCTGGCTTTCAGGAAGAAAGTAAAATCATGGTTGTGGGGCCAGGCTTTCAGACAGCAGACATAAATCAGCACGTTAGTGAAAATGGACGGGAAAGGCAATTTACATGAGGATGCGGTTTTATTGTTAATTGAGGCTTTTATACTGTTTAATTAATGGGTTATGTAATTTATGTATTTTAATGGTTTATTGGTTTCGTTATTATATTTAATTGTTCATATGTAACAGCATCGAATTGCTGCCTACATGAGCCGTCCTGAGTCCCCCTTTGAAGGTGGAGAAGAGATATAAATACCAGAAATAAATAAATAAATAAATAAATAAATAAATAAGGCAATAAACTCAGAGATGGTTTACCTTCCTCAAAACATAGTATACAGTCCCAGCTATCCTTGTCAAATACTAACCATGACAAACCCTGCTTATCTTTAGAGATCAGTTCAAGTATCGAAGCCTCATGGAAAAATTTAACAACTTTGGAAAAGTTTAGTATTTTCCCATGGCATCTTTTTAATTTAAAGAAAGTCAGCTCCACATCTGCTACTAACATTTAGCTGGAGCAGAAAATCCCAGGCATAACTGAATAAATTGCTATTGTTTAGAACTGTCACATATAATGTGAACCAGAAGATTGGCAGTTCAGGCCGAGGGTGGGGGTGAGCTCCCACCATCAGCCCTAGCTTCTGTTTACCAAGCAGTTCGAAAACAGCAATGTGAGTAGATCAATAGGCACCGCTTTGGTGAGGAGGTAAAAGGCACCCCTGAAGACATACCAGCAATTCAATCAGGAAGGCATCCATAGACAACAGGCGAATGTTTAGCTAATGATATATACCAGGATTTGGATTGCAATTTGGGTAGTCAGTCTCTAAAAGCTTTGCCACCTCTGCCCTAGAATGTCAAATTTTGTAAAGCACACAAGCATCATATAAGATTTTTTTCCCTGCAGAATTATTATTTTTTACTATATATAATGTTGTATTTATTCTATTCTATACATCTGGCATAGACCACCTGTGTTATTAACTGAGCTTGGGAAAGTTACTTTTTGGACTGTAACTGGCAGAAACCAGCAGTAAACATGACCATGTTGGCTATATGAATCTGGTGCCCAAAAACAAATTGTTCCAAATGCTGATTATTGGTGAATTAATCTATATTTTCTTTTTTTCTTTTTGCAGTCCAAGATGAAGTATTTAATTTTCCCAGTGTAACTCCACAAAATCAGGATCTCGTTAGCAGAGCAATCACACTTGTAACAGGCTCTTCTCAGAAGATTTCAGTCCATCTACAACGGGTGACAACCAGCCAGGCAACTCAGACGGAGCCACTATGGCATGAGCCTGGTTGGGGTGATTCAGGGTCCCACACATTTCCAAAAATGAAGTCTAAGTTCCATGGGAAATCAGGAAAGACTAAAGGTTTTGCAAAATGGGAAAACGAAAAACCCAGCATTCCAGCCAACATGGACATCCCAGCAGCAACTACAACACAAGGATTGAATCAGAATGGAAATGAAACTTTGTTAGAAAGACAGGAAATGCAGGTGAGTTACAGATTTCAAAGCGCCCAGTGGGAGACGATGTCTTCATTTCACTGAGGCAGTGAACCAGCTTCAGGGATTAGATTGAAAGACCTATTCAAGGTGCTGAAAAAGAGTGTCCCAGAGAGACTGGAGGGGCTGCAAAAAACAACTTTAGGGGCTGTATCTCGCACTAGGAACATGCTTTGCTCACTTTAGATTTAAAATTACAAAGCCGGACGTGTCTTTAAGAAATGAATAAAGGTTTATCACCTTGGATACCTTCTTTAAAATTCAAATTTAACCCAGAGTGGATTTATTATGTTACTGACTTGAAATCCAACCTCTGACGATTTCAGAGGTTGGATTTCAACCTCTGACGTAGGTGAAATGTCAGGAGAGAATGCTTCTGGAACATGGCCATACAGCGTGGAAAACTCACAACAACCCAAATAAATAAATAGGTCTTTCACTGGTTTGCTGTCTCTGTCAAGTTCTATAAATCCAGTGTCTAATCCCATATAAACTCAATCAGTGAAATTTAAATAAACATTGATTTAATTACTTGTACTTGAACAATTAGATCAAGGGTATAGTCTAACTGTGCCTAGAAATTGGGTTAAAGTCCTATGAATCCTTAATTTAGAGCCTTTACAATGCTATACTTCCATCGTATTATCATATTAATATGATAGGACAGGACAAATACTCCTTAATCAAATTAATTCTGAACTTTAGGGAGTTTTATTTCCAGAACTACTGGTATTTCTTGACTTGTCTATGGAATCTTTCACTATGACCTATATCAGGTGACTCTCGTGATTTGTCTAGGTTTCAAGCAATATAGTATTCCAGTTTCCAAACTTCAAATGTAATTCAAGTCTGTACAGGTTGAGTATCCCTTATCCAGAAATCTGAAATCCACAATTGGCCATATGGGTGGCTGAGAATGTGACACCTTTGCTTTCTGATGGTTCAATGTATACGAACTTGATTTGATGCACGCAATTATTAAAAAACGTGTTTAAAATTACCTTCGAACTGTGTGTGAAATGTGTATGAAACACAAATCGTTTTTGTGTTTAGATTTGAGTGCCATCTCCAAGACATTTATTACGAATCTGAAAAAAAAATCCAAAGTCCAGTACATTTCTGGTCTAAACTTTTCAGATGAGAGCAACCCAGCCTGTATTTTACTTAGAAAATAAAATATATGCATAACACATGGAAGAGAGGTAACATTTGTAAACTACTTGCCCCAATTAAACATTGAGATTTATGGGAATATATTTACAGACTATTTAGAAATAGATTCAGTGATGATCTTACATATGCTATGCAGTTCTATCTTTTTGAGCAAAGCATTACATTGAACAAAATCAAATTATAGTTTGGAAACTAGAATATTACATAGCTCAAAATTTCAGGCAATTCCGGAGTCACAATTTGCAGCTCTTTGAGACTGTCCACTTCATCACATTGAAGCAGGGAAGTGTTTGTTATAGTAGTGCTCAGTCGTACTCCGTTTAGAAATGAAATGGATTATTTTCCTTCCTTCCTCACACAGTTAAATCTATCTGTGTGACTCAGTTGTACTCAGGATTCTACAGTTGATTTGCCATCACACTGTAATAGCTTGGCACCGCCTACCATCCTTCCCCCTATGTTCTTTGTTGGAAAAAAACCTCCTCTCTTTGAAATGTCAACTGTTACATGTCTTCAATTCCTTGAGCTTTCAGTCTAGCCTCTCTCTCTGGGCTGCCCCACCAGGAAAAGAAACAAGGAAGGAGGGAGGGAGCAAAAACGGCAATGCAGCCATCTTTTTCTCCCCCTCTCTCGGCTTTCCCATGCAACACAAGGCACAGATATATCGCAGAAATAAAAGGAAAGGAAAAAGACCTAAAAAGCCTATTTTTAAAAGAAATTGTTTTGGCAAAGTAAAAGCTCGTTGAGCGAAAGATGATGGCGGAACTTTCCCTAACAAGGGTATGTTGGCTTCTCCCACAATTTCCCTCCCCACAAATTGGGGAAACATTTCATTCTAAACCTAAGAGCAACAAATGCCATCACATTACAGAATTGGCCCTTTTGCCCATGTACATTTGGACCATTAACAAAAAATCCACTTCTCAAGCAGCTCCTGAAACGTATGAATGTTCTACTCTACACTTGAACCCAATCTAATGCGATCAACACAGTGGGTTACCACTTTTAAAGTAGAAGACTCAGTGGAATTTAGTAAGTGTGATGAAGTGGTGTATGTCTATATGTTCTTAAGCTGTCTCCTCCTAAGAAAACTAGCATACCAGAAAAATTTCTGAGTTGAGAGTATTTTTATTAATGTGGGGATGCATGCAAACATCCAAATGGTACAGTCCAGCCATGCAATGTTAATTATCTAACTTGTCCCATTTCTGTTTCAAGAACATTCTGAAATATAAAATAATCTCTTTTGATTTATTACAGGCTAGTTGATCTGCTGCTGCAAAATATGGAAGATAGTTCAAGAAAGCACAAAACTGTACATGGCCAAAATTTACAAAATCTCTCTTTTATCACTTGGGACAGGCATTTAATGATAGAGCAGAGTATTTATTCTTTCACATAGATTAAGTAATTTGATCATCCTTGCACAGTGCAGAAAATAAAGGAGTGTTATAGCTCCAGCAAGTCCTGGTTTCTTCACTGCTATTTCTCAGTCGAGGAAAACTTGTTCCGGTCCACTTCATTACTACCAAAGAAACACTGGATCTTCAAAACAAGACAGCTACAAAATGCAGGGCAATGCAATCTGCACCCTTCTTGTCTCTGCAAGTTTGCTGTGTATGAAAACTTCATCATTTATCTGACAGACAGCTAGATGTGAGAGTGATGACTTTTGAAGTGCAAAATGTCTCCCATCACAGACTCCCTCTGCATTCCCAGTTGAAATCCTTTCTTTAGGTTGTGTTTTGTTTTCCAACAAAATCTGGAAGATGTTTATGTTTTCCCATGAAATATGTGACAGACAACTGACCTGAGTGCGGCAAGATTCCTAGCAGAATCAGATGAAGGAACTTGAAACATGTAGTGGGTATGGTAATTCAGATTGCATTATTTAGTCATGTGGATGCTGAAGGAAACAGAGGAAGAGCGCTTTCCCACTCTTTATTATGCTGTCATAATCATGTAGCACGTGTTTTCATTTCATGGTTACTGAGGTTATGATGTCTTGGGGTTTGTTTGGGGTTTTTTTTTTTACACCTTTTAACAAACTGGAAGTTATCTAAATAAAACACTGGATTTGATAGACATGAAGGATTTCTTGAAGTAAAATTAAAATTGTATAACGAGAGTATGTACTTCCACTGAGAATTAACTAGTGCAGATCAGTATCTTATTTGTCTTCAGAAACGTTTGTTAGGGTAATCACTATTTCACCCTCTTGATCATGTAATAATGGAACATCTACGTATGTTGGTGACATACTTAAAGTGCATAGCATCACCAATGAATGAATGCTCACCCCTTGTCCAGCTCAAGTGCTATCCATGCATCTTTGAACTCCAGTGCCTGTTAGCCTTATCAAGTATAGTCAATGGTGAAGAGTGCTTGGAGTTGTAGTCCTATATCTATAGAGCCACAAAATCCCCATCTCTTCGTAAACAAGGCTAGCTACTACACTGGCAAGAACATCTAAAGGTCCATGTTCTAAACCTTCGGACTGGTATGAGCCTCAGAAGATAGCTGGGGTAATTACTGATCTTAGATTTGATGCTGGTTTTGATTTAAGTCTGGTCATGAGTTGGGCCTGGGCGTCATCTGACCATTTGGCTCTTAGCTTAAATGGGCTCCCTGTGGTGGTGACCCTTGATACAGGGATTTGGTTCAGGTGAACTTTATAACCAGAAACAATTATGTCCAGAATCAAGGGCTGATGGTCACTATCAATTCTAGTACCAATGCTAAAGTTCTGGACTCTATCAAAAGCATTTCTCGAGGCTAGGGCATAATCCATTGTAGCCATGTGGGTTCAAGAAAGTGAGTTTCTGTTGGATCGACCAGTGGAGCTTATGACAAGCAAATCCTCCTTCTAACTTTTGTCTCCAAGCTTTGCCACCTCCAACATATAGACACCAGGCCTACTGGGCTCATCTGGTTTAACAAGGAATGCCAGATGATTTTTTTTAAAAGCCTTAAAAAACACATATATTGGCTACAGAAAATTTTGCTCGGGATAAACATAATCCTTCCCTGATCCAATTAAAAAGGGAATACAAAACTCTTCTAAGGCAAAAGAAACAGCAACATGACCATAACACTTGGGCGCTATTGATCAATGCCTCGGTGGACAATAATGCTAAAAACTTCTGTCAACTTGTATCAGGAGCCCTGCAATCCCCCCACAGAGCCCCAAACTGCGTAATCCCAGCCCAGGTATGGGAAAATCATTTCGTTTAGTAAATACCTCTTTACCTTTTAACACCTTACATTCCATCATGGGAACCAGTATATATAGTTTTTAACTTGTAAACCTGCATCCTGAAGATTACTGTCATTTTTAAAAAATTCAAGACATGCTGAAGATCCCCCTAAGCTCTTAGAATGATTTCATGTACAATATTTAATGAAGGGGATGAGAAGGACGTGGTACTTTCACAACTGTTTAAATAACTCTCCTTTAACTCTCTCAAGTCCCTTCATTCCACACCTCAAAGGCAATCTAAACCAAGAAGATCAGAAGGGAATATTTGAATATTCTTGATTCATGGAATCAAATTCATAGAATTAAATTCTGTAGATAGATATTGTAGTGTCATTATTATGCTTAACTAGTTTTGTAATCAACTGCTAATCTGGATGAGGGGAGTCCTCGTTTTTTTTTTTAACTGGATACTTGCATCAGACTAAACAGTAACATATTGCAAAGTTTCACAATCCTTTTCACATTAAAATGTTTGAGATTACCTAAATGCCTATACAGGCAGTCCCCAAGTTACAAATATCCAACTTACAAACAACTCATTGTTACAAACAAGGGTGGGACAACAGGAAGTGAGAGAAATTGCTCCTAGGAAGGGAAAATCACTCCTGAAAGAGGAGTGAATCATGGGGAAAAGGGGTCTCCACTGAAGCTTTCTCACCAATTCTTGTATCCACAGCAAGCTGATTTTTTTCAAAATCCAATTATCACAGGGACAGAAAGTGAGGTGAAATCTTTTGAATGGGCACAGACAGGAAACCCCCCCCCCAAAAAAACCCCAAAACACAGTGGTGTTAACCCTTTCCCTGTGCTATCCAAAGCTTGCTTATATAGAGAGACACAGAGAGAGGAGGAGGGAGGGAGCATACACATATATTACTTTATATATTTTGCTAGTTACACTTAAAAATGTATCTTTTCCAACTTACAAACAAATTCAACTTAAGAACAAGCTTACAGAACCTATCTTGTTTGTAACTTGGGTGCTGTCTGTATATTCACACATTGCTAGACAGGCCAGGGCTCCTTATCAAGAAATGTTACCAAGTCTTCTCTCTTCTTATTGATTAGATCTCATCCCATGTTTATACTGAAGTCACGTATTGACAAATTCTCACATAAGTCCATCTGGCCTCTCAGCTTTCTTGCCAGAAGGCAACAAGTATACCTGCAGGGTCATATATTGACAATGTAAGAATGAGTGGTTTCACCACAGGAAGAAAATAATTTGATGGGAATAAGAAAGACTGTCAGAGAGAATGGAACTGCTCACATGGTTGCAGTCTGTGGCTGTTTACCACAATGGGGAAGTGACTCTCACACTGATAAGACATCAGAAGAAGCCCTCAATCCCAATTTTTCAGCCACTTGGTAGACTAAGATTGTTCTGTTATTTTTCAGATTCCATGCCATTTTGGGCTTTCTACAAACACTTTCTACAAGCATTTTAGGTTAAGTATCCATAACCAAAAATGCTTGGGACCAGAAATGTTTGCGTTTATTGTATTTTGGAATATTTGCATTTGCAAACAGGTACATGAGATACCATGCTTTGGAGATGGGACCCAAGTTTAAAAATAAAATTGTTGTATGTTTCATATACACCTCATACACATAACCTGAAGGCATTTTTAAACAGTTGTTTAATAGTTTTGTGCATGAAACCATGCTGGTGTACACTGTGCCATCATTCCTGATCATGAGAACTCTTCAAAAGTAGACCTCTCTGTCTCTGTGTGGTGGAAGCTCCTTCTTTGGAGGCTTCTAAAAAGAGGCTGGATGACCATCTGCCAGGGGTGTTTTGATTGTGCTTTTTCTGCATGACAGGAGGCTGGACTAGATGGCCTATATGTTCCAACTCTATTATTCTACAATTCTATGAAAGGAAAGGTTTCACTATCTCAGCCATCCATGTGGACAATTTTGGAATTCTAGATAAGGGATACATAACGGATACAACTGGTTTCACTGTCATGTTGATACATTGTTCAATTAATACTATTCACCAGTGTCAAATACAGGTTGAGTACCTACACCATCCATAATACACAATTATGTATTTGTATGTGATCTATAACTTGTTCAAACCTGAAAAGCCATCTTGTGATGCATCCAAAGCACTACCTGTTTGCAGAAAACGAAGAAGATATCAAAGAAACTGCAAAATAAAGCTAGGCAACCTTAGTCCAGGGATCAATTTTCTGCCCTTGGATTCATGCTCACACCATGCTGAATAACACAAATGACAACAAACAAAATACCCAAAATTGATAGAAGTTCCCTATGTTTTTTTTAAAAAAATGCCATTTTTAATATGTTAAACTAGTGCAGTGATACCTTGCAATCTATTAAAAAAGAAAATTCTGAGAGAAAACACAAGATGGCCCATATGGTGTCTTCCTACTCTATTATTCTACAATTCTATGAAAGGAATGGTGCAACTATCTCAGCCATCTATGTGGACATGGATGCAGGGGTTGAGTGGCATGAAAAGTCATGTGGCTCCAGAACTGTTAGCCTAGTATTGTTTAGAGGCTTACAATCAGCCCCTTTTGTTCTATGACATGTTCTTTAAAATTCAGGTTTAGTATAATTTTGTATAATTTATCCAGAAATACAAAATGATCTGAAGTTGTCCCCATGAGTGGCTCAAATAGTGACATATTTGATTTTCTTTTTTTTGAATATACACAAACATTGTCTCATGCAAAAAATATTAAAATACTGTGTATAAAATTATCTTCAGACTATGTGTAAGAAACATCAATTAATATAATGTCTTCTCTGGGATATTACAAAATTGTATACATGCAAACCTCCTAAAATTGAGCAAAAATCCCAAACACTTCCCAGGTCCCTGCAAGAGATCTACCAGGGAATCATAGAATAATAGTTGGAAGAGACCACATGAGCCAAGTAGTTCAACCCCCTGCCATGCAGGAAAAACACAAAGTACCCCTGACGGATTTCACTTCTTATTTTAGGCAGCAAGTTAGTAGACAGATACACCAAAGGCCAATGATCATGTGACTTAGCCTTTCTCTTCAAGCTTTGATAGTCTGAAGGGAACTTCCACATCTGCCTGAATATATGAATGCCTCTCAAACATCAGGACATAAGCCATTTTCAATCATGTGGAAGCTTTAGGAAGCCTGTTCAGTCAGACAGAGAAAACCCTTTTAGATCAATCCATCAATTCAAAAAAATCAGTAGTGGCACAGAAAGTGCACACATTTACTATATGAGTTTTAATCCCAATTAGCCTTAATAGGGCAAATAAAGCTTTTCTAGAGAACACCAAAATTCACATCCACCAAACAAAATTTGAGAAAGACATTTTAAGCTTAATTACTTTTTGCTTGTAGATTGGGAGCAACACCTAGTGGCCATAAAAATTAATTTCTGATTAAACATGGTGCTACAAACATAACACTTCAAAAATTATCTTAACAAAGGCAGGGTTAGTTGCATTCCTTGGCTGCAAACAAAAAGAACTAGTAAATCCGTTAATTTCATAAAGTATTTCTGAAAACCTTATAGTTTGAAATGAAGAATTGTTTGAGAAATCTAAATTAAATGATTTCCTGTCTCCAATTCTCTTCCCTTCTCAACCTGCCTTTGCCTCAATCAGGAGAAAAAAAATGAATGCTCAGTGTGTTGTTGAAAGCTTTCATGGCTGGAATTACTGGGTTGTGGTGAGTTTTCTGGACTGTATGACCATATTCCAGAAGCATTATCTCCTGACGTTTCACCCACATCTATGGCAGGTATCCTCAGAGGTTGTGAGGATGCCTGCCGTAGATGTGGGTGAAACGTCAGGAGATAATGTTTCTGGAACCCAAAATGAATATTATTGATAAAGCCAATGCTATCAAAAAAGTGAAACAGCCTCCACTTGACAGTTCCATTTCCTGTTTGCTACATTCAAAGGATAGAGAGGGAGATAGGAAGCCACTCAAATTATTATTTGCAAAAATTCATAATCTTCAGAGAAAGAAAAGTATATATTAACCTGTGCTTGAAGTCATTTGTCTCTAAATGAAAGTTAAATCAAGAAATAGGAGAACAGATGCTTTTATTGCCCATCTTTTATACAACAGCATACCTTCAGCCATTTTCTTTCACAGCTTGACAATGTTTCTGTACACACACGCACACACACACACACACACACAAACACCAGCAAGGCGCATTGATGCGACTTTCCAGTAAATAAAAATGTAACCAACCCAGCTGAAGGGCATTTTGTCTTGAGTCAAATGCCTAAATAAAAACCATCCTGCCTTTTCTGATCAGTGGTATTAACTCGTGCATAAAAGAAATTTCAGATTGCCATTACTGCTAGCTAACTTCAAGTAAAAGTTAGGTTGGTCAGGGAAGAAACCCTGGATGAAAGTGAGTCTGAATTATGCTGAAGCATAGGGCTACATATACTATCCATTTATAACTTAGCTTGGTTTGATAGATGACATTTGCATGGTATGATAATGGTTGAAGTCTCCGGTTCAGACATGTCAAAGTGTTTCTGATTAGTGTGAGACGTAAGGCTACTGAATAAGGTGTCAGCAATAGAGCTCATATAATAGACACAGGGCTACTGAAATGGGCTAAAGTTCTCTGCACAGTTACAAATGTCTAAATCCAACTGATGTCAGAGGGGTCTATGGAAACTTATCTGCAGCTTGACAATACAGATCAGGAGTCAGCTTGTTACTTAGAAAAATTCTAAATGAAATGCAATATTGAGACTATCTTTGTCTGCGTAAGATTTTAAAAGAAATAATGAGTCAATGTAGAAATGACAAGTTCTTATAGATGTGAACCAACATGTATTTTAAATCCCCAGAGTCCTTTAGTACAGAGAATCGCACTTGCTGCTTTAAAGTTCTGTAAGTCCTGGAGAAGAAAAGCTGGCCTTCACGCAGCCCCAGACTAATCTGTATGTTTTCACATGCTCAAAAGCAAAAATGACCCTCCAAAAACAGTCTGCCACATGGTACTAATTCAAAAGGGGGTGGGGGTGGAAGAGATAATCAGGCTTCTATTACATGAGCTCTATCAAAATGGCAGATTTTGTAGCCTCAGCTTGTAAAGTGTCTTCCTTGTCCAAATCCAGATTGATTGTACTGATATCCTCCATGCTGGAAGTGCTGCTCAAATTGCCCTCCTTGGTTAAAGTTTTGTGCACCTCTTCCTCCCCATCCACCACCTTGCCCGCCACGGCCACGACCTCCACGGCCACCTCGCCCTCCTCGACCACCGCCTCGTTCGCTGGAATGCCCATCTTGGTATCTGTTGTCTTGCTGGTAGCTTCCACCACCACCACCTTGATAGCCACTTCCTGAATATGAAGATTGATAGCCACCATAGCCACTTCCTTGGTAGCCAGTGCTACCACCACCATGGTAACCGCCAGTTTGATAGCCTGCATCTCTATAGTTATTTTCCCTATAGTTGACCTCTTGATAGCCGCTTCCACCACCATCGGTCCAGCCTCCTTGCGGTTTGCCTCCTCTTCCTCCCCCCCTGCCTCCTTGGTCATAACCACCACGTCCTCGCCCGCCTCGTTCATGGCCCCCATGTTCATGACCTCCACGGCCTCCATAGGATGAGTCATATCCTCCACGGCTTCCTCTGTCATAACCTCCTTGGTCATATCCTCCTCGACCTCCTCTGTCATGACCACCGTGTTCATAACCGCCACGGCCCCCATATGATGACTCATATCCACCTCTTCCACCTCTACTTTGCTGCTGAGGACCATCTTGCCTTTTTTGCCACGGTGGCATCTCAGGAGGTGGTGGCTCAATTTCATTAGGTCTACCTCCTCTATCAGGTACTCGGCCCATTAACACCTACAGCAAAATAAACCAAGACGTTGGAAAAATGAACACAAAATATTAACTGTGTTGTTGAATAGTTTGGTAACATGAAAAAATCTATGCAACAAAACACTTATACTAGCGTTTTTCTAAAGTGGAATGCATAAATGAGGAGCACTTTGACCAATCTGAGATATGACATTTGTGTCTTGTTTATTAGCATACTTATATTCCACCCTATTTCATAACATGTCAGGATGAGCTAGGATTAAATCAATTTAAAAACTGCATGGACGAAGTTGTAAGATCCCAAAGGCTTTTAATAAAAAGCCATGCCTTAAGCTAGAGCTAGAAAGAAGGTAATCACGCCTCTAAGGGGATGGCATTCTACAAACAAGGGATCAGAGAAGTCCCATTAACTTCACCGGTGGGACACAGTGGAGGACCCCTCCATGAGACTTCAATCATGAGGAAGGAGCATATGGGAATAAGCACTCATAGCTTGATAGACTCCATAAGCTAGCTGGTGTTGCCCCCCCCCCCCCCGCCCCGATGTGCGATGGGAAGTTGCTGCCAATTGTGTGAGAAATAATGTTGGACAGTGTGAGAGCCACCCACTGTATGGCTATCAGCCTCCTCCCAGTAGACTTAAATCAAGGAAAAGTTTCACAAGAACCACCACTCCTCTCATTGTTCCTCCGGCAACAGCAAGGGTATTCCTGTGGGCAGCAAAATCAAGCACTTCCAATTGGATGGCCCCCCACAAGGTTTGCCTCCAGGGACAAACCAAAAATTGATAACTTGGAAGTCCCTGAACAGATGCAGAAGCTGAGTTGGCAGATCAAAAGACAATCTGGCAAAATGGCACTACCTAGAAGAATCCTCCACCTTGTGCGATTGTGGAACAGGACAAACAACTCAGAATCTGTGTGCTTGCCCACAATGCCCTGCCACATGCACAGAGAAAAAATTGTCGAAAGCTACAATGTTTCTCGTTTTTGGTCTAAATCTATCTAGCAGCTTGTGATACCTTTATTTTATCAGTTCTAGGCTATTTTATCAGTTTTAGATAAACTATTTTATGCAATGCTTTTGACACGAAATAAATAAAGCACTCTTCCAGGTATTGAGGTCCCTCAAGTGTTGAGGCTTTCAATATAACAAGCACAAAATTGTTCTCACACATCTTGCGAGGCTTAAAAGCAAAGGCTTTATACAGTAGCAGGCTCCATCTAGTAAAGCCTAAATATCTCTCAAAGGGATTTGTTTTTATTTCTAAAAGAAACTCTTAAAATTACAACTATTGCAAGCACATAAACACAGGGCTATGAGTCTTACTACTTAAACTTGATCATGTAAATCCAAGATTGAAATGGAATTTCATTCACATCTCACTAGTCTAGGACAGGGGAAATTACTGCCTTTCAGATGGTTGACTACATCTTCCATCAGTGTGGACCAGCAGAGTGAGGAATGCCAGAAGCTGCAATTCAAAAACATCCAAAGAACCTCATTCTGGCCACCCCTGCTCTTGTCTCATTATCAAATGACCTTAACTGAAATTTCTTATAGAAACAAATCTGTGATAAAACAACTACAATTAAATTGAATTAAATAGTGCCACACCACTCTCTTGCAATTTTGAAGCACGATTAAGTTGATGTACTGCACAAAATCTCCAGTCTCAGTCTTGGAGATTAACAAGTTAATCTTCAAGGTAGTGGTTTTGTGCCAATTTTTTGAAATGTAAGCCAAAATCTCCCTAAGAAAACACATAATGTAGTCAAATATGTGGCTGTTCCAGAGATACCGATTATCTGTGTTATATAATCATAACCATAAAGGGTGGTTTAATAAACCTGAGCAAGGTATCATATTGGAACTGTCATAGGTACAGATTCCTATAACATGTTTCTCAAAACGAAGAGAAGAAGAGGAGACATGCTAATTGTAGATATGTATTAGAGATTATATTATTGCAAAAAAAAATCTCTAATCCAGTTTATCAACATCTACAGCACTTTTAGAAGTAAACTATATGAGTGGAGAATTGCAGATACCTTATTAATGGCACATGCAGTCTTTTCTCTGATAGACCCACTGCTAGTTCTCATAATCTTTGACAAGTCTTGTCTAGCAGCCAAGAGATGAGCAACAGATATAGCACATTTAGTAGATAACATGGCACGTTTTGGCTGGTAGATTTTAGCCAATTTCTCTGTTTGACTCTGTAACACAAAAAGAAAGAGAGGAGGAGAAGTCAGTGGTATCAGTCAATTCATTACCTAACTTTTAAACAATCATTCTAACATATTTAAGTATCATTAAAAACTACTGAATTAAACACTCAATTGGAACAATCCACACTTTCTTCTGCTGTGCAAGTAGGGGTATCTAACTCTGGAGTTTCAAATTAGCTTTATCTATAATGCCAACAAAAAAAATTCAAACTGGATTTCATTGAGCACTTCTCCAACCTTCTTAAAGGTATTGGTCCTCTATTAGCAGATATATCTACAAAATATAGGCACCCAGAGGGGGAAATCAAATAGAAATTGGCTGACAGCCTTAGCAAGAACAATTCCATATACAAAACCTAAACTATAAATTCCCACCCCCACCACCAAGAACTAGAATAAAGCTGTCTTCTAAAAAATAAATTGTACCTTTGCTCGATCTGACCAACCAAATGATTGAACAGTTACATCTAGACGTTTCACTAATAATTTCCTCCGAACTTCGTACTCATTGGCTATGGCTTGATTAATACCTTCAATCTTTTCCTGAAACAAAAATACAAAGATTTGCTGGAATATAAATATTAACATTAGATGCAATGTTTTTGTCCAACTAACAACTTACCACAACATATGGCATATACAAACATAACATTCTTGACTTTAAAAAAAGCAATGAGCTCTTTGTATACTGATTTAGAGGCCTTCCATCCTAATCTTTTTAAACTACAGAATAACAACATAGAGCCTGTGAGACACATGCAGTCCATAACCCCTTTCCATAGCTGTTGATTTCTACCAGCTGTGATATCAGTTCCAAAACTGGCAAATATCTCAAGCTGTTAGATCCATTGAATTAAGTAGCACAAGGTAAAAAATTGTTCCTATACAGAACTGTACCAACTTCTTATGACAGAAACGATGGTCTCACATAATGCTTTGTAATCTTTCCACATCAGAGAGCTGCTACAACTGCAACTGAATTAAGGGGTGGTAACCAGGAAACAGTGAAGGCCTGTGAAGGAGTGACAGACAGTCAATGGACCTCTGCAAATCTGAGGATGCTCAGTAAGCTGAAGGGGAGCTTTTCATCTTTCTGACTATCAACCTGGGGGTTGGCAAACTGCAGTCCTCCAGATGTTATTGGGACTGAAACTCCCATAAGTTTAGCCATTGCAGTCATTAATCAGAAATGCTGGAAGTTGCACACAAACTATATTTGAAGGACTGGGCTTTGCTCTCCCTTGCTACATTCTGTCCAGAAGCAAATAATCCTAAATTCACATTTCCAAAGTTCAAGGTAGATTTATTATAAGAATGAGGTCACAACCCATGAAAGCCTTCAACAATACATGGAAGTGTTCTATTAATGAAGATACTCATCTTTTGATCACAATAGCTACAATTTAGCAAAGATGTTTGTTCGGGTTTGTTTGTTTGTTTTTCATTTCAAGGGACTTAATTTATCTCAAGCTAAATTAACTCCCTTGATAACTGTACTGAATTGTACATTCCTTGAAAGCATTCTGGTACAGAAAAACTTAATTCCTTTCCCTTTCTGCTTGCTATAGCCTACAATAAAAACAAAGAACCAATTTTGTGAAACTGTGTTCACAGAGGATACCAAAAGTATTTTTAGGAATACAGATTCTAGTATCAGCTTTATTCTATAATGCTTAACAATGACATAAATGAATTACCATGTAAAGTAAAATACAATTATTGAATATATGAAAAATAAATAAATAAAAGGTGACAATCCCGATGAAAACAGTTAAGGAGTGAAACTATGTGTTCTATAGAAATATAACTTACCCAATGAACTGGACCAAGTGGTTTTGATAGTAAAGGCTTTCCTACATGATTTGGAGGAACTTTTGCTAATGTTTCTTTTAACTGTAACAAAATTAACAAAGCACATTGAAAGGCAACTTTCTCTTTACAATTGAAACATACAAAGTAGCAATGGAAATTTGTATATCTATGTGTGATATAAATATAATACATTTAACACCTTTAGACCAATAGAGAAGCTTGAATACTTTTGAAAGAATAGAAGATCTTTTGTGATATTTTCATAATTATGACAGCAAGAAAAGAAAATATTTATGTTTTATTTTAATCACATATATTGCAGTGCACAAGAGGACAATATCTTTATTAGCCAAATCAAAATGTTACAAAACAGTAACTAATTAAAAACAGCAAGTTATGTGTAATCAGTTCCTCTTCAAAATAGATGAAGAGTAACCAAGTTACAACTCTTACTTAACAGAACATTTAAAAAATTAAAAAATATCTTGATATCCTCTTTTCCTGTACTATTGTATTTAGTTTTGCATGTTACATTTGATTTCGATCTTGTTAACTATATATTCCCGTTTTAAAGATGAAACATTAGAGTTACTAATAGATTATTTAAATAACTGAATAATAAATCTCCGTGAAATAAGAAATTGAATCAAAACCTGACATGCTATATGAATACAATCTGCCCCTTTCCTGCTCCATATTATTGCTATAACCAATTATGTACCATCAAAAGTCACTTTTCAGGGTCTTGGGGAGCCCTTTTCTCAATAACAATTCAGAGGAAAGGAAAGAAGTTGCAAATCCATGCATTACAACTGATCACATACAGAAAGCTTGGACCTAAATCATTCATGCCAAAGAAAATCTTACCTTTTTTTCTATTCCACTAAAGAATTGAAACATAGTTATGTTGGCTGGAGGCTTGGACATGCCTAAAGCAATGCATATGCCTTTTAGTTCCTGAAAGACTTCACTGCCGCTACCTTCCTGGGCTTTTTTCGGAAGTGCATTCACACAAAGCATTCTGGCAGCTTCCAATTCTGAGATGAGGTATGCTGAAGAAGAAAAGTTACCATTCAATACAAACACTGTTGAACTCACAATATAACCCACACTCATGTTTAGAAATCCAAGAAGGGAATTATTTACCTCAATTAGCCAAGAACATTTTAAAAACTTTACTATCTCCAACAACATGTTTGTATTAAAATGCTTATATCAGCAAATAGTATTTAATTCAGAGGCACAGCTTTTTAGATCATAACATGAAAAGAAACTAAAATGCAGCAGGAGGGCTTTCTCAATACTTAATGAAAAGCTTTTGAAACCGTCCTTTAAAAAAACTATCATTAAAAATCTAAGAGTGCTTCCAATGAAAGCTAGCATTAAAAACAAGAGAAACATTACTGACATTCTTTTCTGCTAAACTGCATTACTTGTAAGATTTTAATGTTGGCTATTCAATTGCTAATCCTCTTCTCTGACCAAACTGGTTTATGACAAGCAAAAGAAAAAATGTTGAGTCATTGTAGACTTTGATGCAGCTATCAATACAACTTGAACAAATTTAACTATAGTCTCTCTATTATTATTATTATTATTATTATTATTATTATTATTATTATTATTAGGACAACTGTCCCAATTACCCCCCTCTGTAAAATTTTCTTCAACTTACTAAGCAGTAGGAGGCAGTTTTTCTGATTGAGAAGGCGCTTGGTGACGTCTCCTGAAGTTAGTATTGTATACGGGCAGTTCATTTCACTCAGTAACCCACTCATTTCAAGCTGGAACTCTTCTGCTTCATTTGGACCTGAACACAAAGATTATTTTTATTTAAACAGATCAACTGTTAGAAGCGCCAATTTTTAGACAAGAATTAAGTTGAAACATTAAACTTAAACTACCTGTCCCACTGTGAACATTTTAAAATAAAAGTTAAAAGCCATATTACTTCTTCAGGAATTTGGCACATAGTCCATCTGCTCCTGTACTTTCTGAGTGGTGTTGTGATTTAACAACTTTATTCTAATATGATGTTATTGTTGATGTTTATTGGTACTGGTAGTGTTTCAGTGAAAAGGTCAAGGTAAATACATTCATGACCGCAAATTACAACAGACTGCTATCTTTTAAAGAAAAAGATTAAGGTTTCAAACTCAATTAAGAACCCAAGCAAAGTGAAAAGAAGCACTCCTAATTTTATTATTTGGGCATAATATATATGTGTGCAAAAGTTGTAATTTTATGGGAGCAAAAAAAATTTAGTACTAGAGACACAGAATGCACTCTGAAGAGCTAAGATTTCATTTGTTTTAAGCAAGTGAATGAAAACTCAAATCTCAGTAGTGGGTAGGGCTCTTCATACTCATATTTACTCGAGTCTAATGAGCCATCGAATCTAATGCACACCTCCATTTTCAAAACCCTGAAACCCAAAAACGTATTTGCTGCCAAATGTAATACATAGTGGCAAAGAGTGCAGTCTTTGTAATTTGGCCAAAAAAAGTGTGCATTACAATTGTTGCCTGCTTAAGATTCCTTCTTTAAAAGCAAAAGTGTTAGAACACCAAAACTTCATTCCATCAATGAAAAAGAAAACCTTGAGATGCATCTGTGCTGTAGAATGAATCCACTTAAACTTCCTTATCTCAATGCTACGGAGTCACAGGGTGTGTAGTTTCACAAGATCTTGAGCTTTCTCTGACAAAGAATGCTGATGCCTCACCATAGCATTGAGCCCTGACCATTAAATTAGAGATGAGGTCCCTCAAAGAGGAGCTCCAGGTGTTCTTGAAACAACTTCCCCTTTTGCTTTGCCCTAAAATTGCCATATGACTCAAATCTAATATGCACCCTAATCTCAAAGTTACTTAACCAAAAAAGGTGAGCATTAGAGCCAGGTAAACACAGTATATCACTGCATTTTTACTTGACAAAATTATGTAGCTAAATTAAGAAAATCAAGTAAATTATTCATAAGAGCTCACTTGCATAATTGACGAATGCTGTACATTATCATTTTGTTTTATTTCGCTTTAGTTTTGTGGCACATAATCTGAACTACTTGAATGAAGAACTGATATCCATTACCATTGATAACACAGATGCCAGAAGACATCCAAACTGGCTGTCATGCAGGCATATCCCCACACTTCAGTAGATTTTTAAAAATTACAGCGGTTCACATCTTCTGCTGCATAAGATATAATAGTGCTATGACACTAAATTAAGAGCTACTTCGATCATCATCACTATATGAATGAAACAAATGAGTGTGTGCGCGCACACACACACACAGATATTCCTGCAGACATTTTCTTTTATAGACATACAAGCATCAATTATGCCAGAGTCATGGTCACTCACTGTTAGTTGCTTGTACATTTTCCTCCAGCTTGCAAAACAACCTTAGTTCTGACACCAGCCAGGCACAAAGTTTGGTATATTCTGGGGAACTGGCTCCACCAGAAGCTGCTTGTGTCAGAGCTCCATCTTCTAACAATGGGCCTTTGTAACTGTCAAACAAAGAAAAGTAAAGTAAGATCAGAATCCCTCACTGTTAAAAGTCAATACTTCTTTGGATTCTTTTCTAAAATTGGTGTTTACTGGAAGATACATTCTTTTAAATCATATTTTAGAAACCCAAGTTAAAACATGTGATATCAGTTCTGATTATTCACACTGTATTATTAACTAGTATCTGCAATAAGTAAAACCAATTGCTGCATATGCACAGTATATACACATATAAACCAAATTAAGTTTATATTTGTTTCCACATTGTGCAAATACAGCAGGATGAATTTTCACCAAACTGGGAGATTACATTAAGGTGATCTAACTTGAAAAGCACTTATTAATATAATATCAGTTCGGTTTGACCCACATAGAAATCCTAAACTAACTCTAAAATAATTTTGATTTGATACCCGAAAACAACTATTTATTTAATGAAAGAAATAGATCAATTGTGTGATTTGCACTTTGGATCAACTGACTGGTCCAGACCAAGAACTTCTGCCCTTTTCCATACTGCAGCCTACTTATCAGTAACCTTTTAGTCTCTATACATATATGATCATCAGCAATGAGTACCTCAGCTCCTCCATTATTCATCCAATGCAGGAATAAATTAGCCTGTCCTGTGATAATTAACAAGTAGAAAACTGCCCTTACATCAATATCTAAACTCTTTTAGAAGAAAAAAAAACAGTTTTTATGAACTTCTTAAGAAAATGAAACCAATGTAGCTTTCACAGCTAACTGGATGTCTAACCTAGCCATTTTTGTAAGTAACAGCAAACATGAATAATTCTCCTTTAACCTCCCATCTGCTTACTGTTAATATTGTTCTACTTTTGTAACAGCTGTTTGCCTCTACTAGGTTCTGTGTGAACATTCCTCACGTGCACTGATATGCATAAATAACCATACTTTTCAAAATAAAGAAAGAAGCTAGAAACTAATTTCTCTACAGCATAGAATTGAAATATTACAACATTACTAAAAAGGCTAAAGGCTTCTATGCAATGACTAGTTGACAAATGATTTATAACATATGTAAAGGGAATTCAGCTAATAAAAAAACAAGGAGCATGAAGGAAAAAGCCCAATTACTTTAAAAATACTATTTTAAACTGTGAGTTTCATCCATGGTGCTAGACAATAAATCACTGACAGATGTCATGCATAGTCAATTTTTCCACTTTTGCTAGGGCATAGCACTGGTCTGAAATCCTTATAGAATCATAGAATCAAAGAGTTGGAAGAGACCTCATGGGCCTTACTGATAAACTTAGTGCCGGAAGTTGAAAGGGGCATTAAAATGATTATATTTATTTCCCCTTTCTTCAAATCTATTCCATAACTATGGAGGTTAAGGAAAAGAATGAGAATAAAGAATAAACTGGACCAATGATTGTTTTTGAATTAGCTATGAAAGAGATGCTGTCATTCTTATGTCATTTTATGACAACTGCTCTGCAACTGTTTGAATAGAACGCTAGAAAAGGATATCTCTGATCTGATTCAGCTTTATTATTCTGTTCTTACGGCCAAAATGCCTTTATATGTTCTGGACCTCATCTTGCTAAGAATGACCTGAAGATATTTTCATTTTCTTAAACAACAGAATCCCTTTCGCCTGTACTTCAATGAACCAACAGTGATTATATACCTGAAACATAACATCTATACAAAAATACAAACTGCAAAGCCTGGCAAAACAGGTAAGAATACAGTACGGCCACCATATTCATGAAGAATATGTTCCAAAATACTCCCAGCCCCACAGACAACTGAAACCTTGGGTAATAGCAAACTCTATATTTTAACAATACTAGGGAGGAAAGCAGGGCATAGAATTGCACTGGAGGATCTGGAGAGGCCCACAAACACTGAAACTGTGGATATTAAAACTGCAGATATTAAATCTGTGGATAAAAGTGTGCACTGGAAAAAGAACATTGTTTTCAAAGCTGAGCAGTCATTTTCACTCATACATACCCTAGGTCTTCAAGTGATTCCAGAATATCATTCTCCATGAGCTCGAACTCCATTCTGGAGCTTCAGAAAGAATCCAACAGAAAAATAAACAGAAGCTGGAAACTAGAATCAGCAAAAACAAAGCCAAATTAGAATTGCTTGGGAGAAATGCATGGCTACCTACATGCTAGCATAGAGCCCAGGAAGGGTACCTTGTACACCTGGGTCCCTTGTCCACTGCCACCCATCCAAGAATCACAGAATCATAAAGTGGGAAGATACTACATCCAGCCAAACCTCCTGCAATGCACAAAGCACTCCTGACACATAGCCATCTAGCCTCTGCATAAAACTCCAGAGAAGGAGACTCCACCATACTTCAAGACAATACAATCTACTGCCAAACAGGTTTAAGAGCCAGGAAGTTCTGTTTAGGTCAGACGTCAGAACTCAAACTGTAGCTGTCCAGCTGTTTGGGTCTCCGACTCCCAGAATTCCTGACTACTGAACAATCTGGCTTGGGCTTCTGGGTGCTGGATGGCAAAAACAGCTGAAGTAGGCATGGGCAAACTCTGGCCCTCCAGGTGTTTTTGGACTTCAATTCCTACAATTCCTAACAGCTGTTAGGAATTGTGAGAGTTGAAGCCCAAAACTCTTGGAGGGCTGAAGTTTGCCCATGCCTGCTTTAGCCTGTGCTTCAAGTCCTGCCAGCTGTTAGGAATTGTGGGAGTTGAAGCCCAAAACACCTGGAGGGCCAAAGTTTGCCCATGCCTGCTTTAGCTTGTGCTTCAAGTCCTGCCGGCCGTTAGGAATTTTGGGAGTTGAAGCCCAAAACACCTGGAGGGCCAAAGTTTGCCCATGCCTGCTTTAACCTGTGCTTCAAGTCCTGCCGGCTGTTAGGAGTTGTGGGAGTTGAAGCCCAAAACACCTGGAGGGTCAAAGTCTGCCCGTGCCTGCTTTAGCCTGTGCTTCAAGTCCTGCCGGCTGTTAGGAATTTTGGGAGTTGAAGCCCAAAACACCTGGAGGGCCAAAGTTTGCCCATGACAGCTTTAGCCTGTGCTTCAAGTCATGCCGGCCGATAGGAATTTTGGGAGTTGAAGCCCAAAACACCTGGAGGGCCAAAGTTTGCCCATGCCTGCTTTAGCCTGTGCTTCAAGTCCTGCCGGCCGTTAGGAATTTTGGGAGTTGAAGCCCAAAACACCTGGAGGGTCAAAGTCTCACCCGTGCCTGCTTTAGCCTGTGCTTCAAGTCCTGCCGGCCGTTAGGAATTTTGGGAGTTGAAGCCCAAAACACCTGGAGGGCCAAAGTTTGCCCATGCCTGCTTTAGCCTGTGCTTCAAGTCTTGCCTGCTGATAGGAATTGTGGGCGATGAAGCCCAAAACACCTGGAGGGCCAAAGTTTATCCATGACAGCTTTAGCCTGTGCTTCAAGTCCTGTTAGATGATACGAATTGTGGGAGTTGAATCCCAAAACACCTGGAGGGCCCAAGTTTGCCCATGCATGAGCTGGAAGGTCACAGTTTGAAGATGCCTGGTTTAGGCTGAATGTCGTTCCTGCATTTTGAGTCGGCTGCTTTGGGTCCCACGCATCTACATTGACAAGTTAACGCAGTGCAGTGCCACTTTAACAGCCATGGCTCAATGCTATATCATTGTGGGGGCCTTCCAGAGAGAGCTGGTGTCTCACCAAACTACAGTCCCCTGGGATCCCATGGCATTGCGCCAAGGCAGTTAAAGTGGGGCCAAACCACAATGTAGATGCGCCCCAGCCTCTGGAGCAGCAGGGGCACAAGCCTGCTCCCTCTGCCTCAGTGTGACATCCTTTCAACTATTCAAACATGGCTCCCCCTTCTCTCAAACCTTCTTTTCTCCAAGCTAAGCCTCCCAACTCCCTCACTCTTGGGCATCTTTCCCATTTCCCGGTGGGGAAAGGCCTAGTGCGGCCTCCACCTTAGGCTCCCCTCCCAGAGGCCTGTCGACTCATGGCGACCCCATACTTTTCAGAGGGTTTCCTGCCCTGGCCCACAAGGCGAGCAGCCCCTGCGTCGCCTGGGAGAGCGGCCCCTTCCCTTTCCCCTGGGCTGCCTGAGGCTCCCCGCTCCCTCGGCCCCCACACGGGCCCCGGCGCCCACCTTCCGCGCAGCTGCTACGCCGCCGACTGCTGGGTTGGCATGTCAGCCGGTGGGGGAAGGGCGAGGAGAGAGGGAAGGACCTCCCCGCCTCACCTCTCACCCCGGACTTCAGGGGAGGGTGGCCAAGTTAGGCGCCTGCGTTTTGAAAAAAGTATATCCTTCTCTCTGCGTCTCCAGCCAGCGGGATGCTGCTCCCCCTTTTTTTACACGTCGTGTACACCCTGGGATGTCTTTTTCTTCTTAACGCCGAGAGTATATTTCAGCGTGAAACACGGGTTTTCTGTCAGGCACTCTAATAGACAGCCCTCACAGGACTTTTCTCGCTGTTCTTTCTCTCTGCGGGGAAACCACGTTGTAAAGCACGGGGCCTGAAAGGAATAGCGCCGACGACGTGGGATGAGGGACAAACTACTTCAGGCGTTTCGTTTTGGGAAACGATACGTTCCAGCATGTGCCTTCGACCCCATTTACACTGCCATACAATGTTGAAAGCTGCCATATATAGTCAGTACATTCATACAATGCAGTTTAATTCACACGATGCCGCTTCAAACTGCATTATATGGTCAGCATAGACTCATATAATACTAAAATATAATACTAATATTGTGCTGTGCTAATATATTGTATACTCAGATAATATTGATAATAATATTCAAACTACAAGAGAGGAGATTCCATCTGAACATTAGGAAGAACTTCCTGACTGTGAGAGCCGTTCAGCAGTGGAACTCTCTGCCCCGGAGTGTGGTGGAGGCTCCTTCTTTGGAAGCTTTTAAACAGAGGCTGGTTGGCCATCTGTCAGGGGTGATTTGAATGCAATATTCCTGCTTCTTGGCAGAATGGGGTTGGACTGGATGGCCCATGAGGTCTCTTCCAACTTTTTGATTCTATGATTAATATTGATAATAATATTATAAAGTAATGCAATATAATACTAATAATACAAAATAATTATATATTTCATATTACATGTAATATTACTAATAATATTACAGTACAGTGGTGTAGTGCAATATGGGAATGTATGGTATGGTACTCATATTGTGTTATGCTAATAATATAATATATTGTATTTACATATAACTTGTAAGCCACTCTGAGTCCCCTTCGGGGTGAGAAGGGTGGCATATAAATATCGTAAATAAATAAAATAAGGTTTGACTCGTATAATGCAGTTTGAAACTTCACTCTATGGCAGTGTAGATAGGGCCTTGCTCTGCAGCCTTAAATAGAAAGCAACCTTTGTTGACTCTGAAGAGGGCCGGTGTTGTTATTTTTGCACACAAAATGGAAACTTGAAATCCTGAGAGTGGTGGCCAGTTAGCTGTTGGATGAGAGCAATGAATGATGGGTGCATCTATACGGGATAATTAATTCAGTTTGATATCATTTTAACTGCCACGGCTCAATGTTGTGGACCAGGAGCTGTAGTTTTTATGAAAAATAATAATTAGCCTTTTCTGCCAAAGAATGCAGGTGCCTCACCAAACTACAGATCCAAGAATACCACAGCATTGATCTATGCAGTTAAACATGGTGTCAACCTACATTCCCAGTTAGTGACGCTGGGGGACACCTGCTCGGACCCCTGGCCTTTGACCTGTGGGGTCCCACAAGGTTCAATTTTGTCTCCCATGCTATTCAACATCTGCATGAAACCGTTGGGAGAGGTCATCCGGAGTTTTGGAGTGCGGTGCCACCTCTACACAAATGACCCCCAACTCCACTACTCATTTCCACCAGATTCCAAGGAAGCCCCTCAGATACTGGACCAGTGCCTGGTGGCTGTGTCGAGCTGAATGAGGACGAACAAGCTGAAGATTAATCCCGACAAACAGAGGTCCTCCAAGTCAGTCGCACGTCTGATCAGGGTATTGGGTGGCAACCTGTGCTGGACGGGGTTGCACTCCCCCTGAAGTCACAGGTCCGCAGCTTGGGGGTCCTCCTGGACTCGGTGTTGACACTTGCTAAGTGTCAGCGGTGGCCGGGAGGGCCTTTGCACAATTCACGACCATACCTCATGAAGTCGGACTTGACCACGGTGGTCCACACCTTAGTTACCTCTAGATTGGACTACTACAACACACTCTACATGGGGCTACCCTTGAACTACAACTGGTCCAAAGCTCGGCAGCCAGCTTAATAACGGGGGCAAATTACAGGGAGTGGTCAAGCCCCCCTGTTTAAGGAGCTCAATTGGCTGCCATTTATTTTCCAGTTCCAATTCAAGGTGCAGATCATCTACAAAGCCCTAAACGGTTTGGGGACCCACCTACCTTCGCGACCGTATCTCCTTCCACAAACCTGCCCGACCTCTTCACTTTTCGGGAGAGAGCTTTCTCCTCTGTGCCCCCCCCCCCAACCCTGGAATTCATTGCCCATTGAGATTAGGCAATGAAGAGAGTGATTTCACATCTCCCGCTGTCACTCCCCCCTTAATGTTCCTCCACATTCTGCACTGATTCCTGCCGTTATGAAGGCCTGTCTCCATTACTCCGTCATTTATGAGTTTCTCTCTTACAAATATACCTGTTTTTATTTCTACCTCATCCTGAATTTTATCATTACCTGTACATGTGGCCCGCTCACTGTGATCGTGTTTGATTTTTCTCTGTATTATTTTTGCTTTAAAAAAATTTTTTTTTTTGCTTTATTTATCTTTTGCGATGTTTATTTCATGTTTTTGTATTATGTTGTTGTTATGATATTGTAATTGCACTACCGGGCTTGGCCTCATGTAAGCCGCCCAAGTCCCCTTTGGGGAGATGGTGGCGGGGTATCAATAAAGATTATTATTATTATTATTATTATTATTATTATTATTATTATTATTATTAATTCAACAATGTAGACTACTGCTGTAATACCAGTGCTGCAGAATCTAGTGCGCAAGGCCTAAGCAGCATTTCTCAAACTAAACTAATACACGTTGAGCATCCTGAATTTGAAATGTTGGGGACCAAAAAAGTTCAAATTTTCGGAATTTGGAATACTGGAGGGAGATAAGACTCAAGTCTAAACACAAAATTCATTTATGTGCCTCACACATTGTCTGACGGTCATTTTCAACACAATATATGGAATTATTTTGTGTATGAAACAAACTGTGTGCGTGCATTAAACCATCAGAAAGCAAGGGTGTTGCTATCGCAGCCATCTGTGTGAACAATTTTGGATTTCAGAATTCCAGATAAGGGACATTCAATCTTTATAACTATTCCTGGATGGTAGTAGCATTTCTGGCTGTGCACAAACAATGAAGAAACGCCAGTAGATGGCACCTGCCTCCTTATTGTGTGCCTTTGGGTCATTTCCAACATATAGGGACCCACTCATGGGATTTGCTATCAGGCACATGTGTCAAACTCAAGGCCCGAATCTGGCCCACCATGTCATTTTTTGTGGCCTTCCAGATGCTGGACGACATCTGCATTCCTCATTAGACATGACTAGAGATGATGGAGTTGTGATACAGTAACATCTGGAAGGCTGCAATTTGTTCTACTTATTCTGGGCTTGGATTTAGATACAAGGCTTATAGGTATGTTGCTTGACTTTAAAGTATTTTTAACCTTTCCCCAACCTCAGAGACACAAGAGCGGTTGGGTTGCAATTCCCATTATCCCCAGTCTGCATGGCAGATGATCAAAAGTGATGGGAGTTGTCATTCAGTAACATCTGGGGTTTAAACTAAAGAGCAGAAACCACTATGTAATATGTTATAGATAGATAGATAGATAGATAGATAGATAGATAGATAGATAGATAGATAGATAGATAGTTGGCTCTCTGTATCCATGGATTCTCCTTCCGTGGATTCAATTACCCTTTGAAGGCAACCATAAGGCAGATGTGACTCTTAATGAAAATTAGTTTGGCACACCTCATCTTACTGTTTTGTCTTCCTCTGAGGTTGAGAGAATGTGACCCAGTGGGTTCCCATGGCACAGCAGAGATTCAGACCCTGGTCTCCATAGCTGTAGTTTAACACTCAAACCACAACACCACACTCCTTTTTTTAAAAAAAAACCAGCCTAGCCTAATGTAATTTAGGGCTCATTTGCCCTACATAATTATAGTGCCTTAAAGTGGTTTCTAACTTACAGTGACTGTGAAGCGATCCTATTACAGGGTTTTCTTGGGTAGATTAGTTCAAGATTAGTTGTTGTAATGAGAACATATCATTTGAGACAACAATATATTTCGAGAAGATTTCTAGAATTGCTGTGTGCCAAGAAAAGAGAACAAAAGAGTCTGCATGTATAAATCTAATTCTAACTTCAATTTATTAATCCAAACTATATTAGCCAATACATACACTCTATCCTGAGATCCAACTCAGAGAGGTTTAAGAAAATAATTCACTGTAAATTATCTTACAAAAAAATCAGGAAATTTGAAATACATCTCCACTACAGTACATTACTTCAATTTGATTCCATTTCAGACTGCCATGTTTCAATTCTATGGAATCCTGGGAGCTGTAGTTTCTTTGTCAAATAGTGCTGGTGCCTCATCAAACTACAACTCCAAAAATTACATAGCATTGATCCATTGCAGTTAAAGGAACCTCGAACTGCATTAATTCTACAGTACAGATGCACCCTTACTCTTAAATATTCTTTATAGATGCACCTATAAAGCCCTATACAGTTCTGGCCCAACTTACTTGTCCGAAAATATCTCCCTCTATGATCCACCTCATCCACCCCACCTTAAGTTCATTGGAGGAGGCCCTGCTCTCGATCCCACCACCCTCGCAAGCGCGACTGGTGGGGACAAGAGACAGGGCCTTCTCTGTGGTGGCCCCCCATCTGTGAAACACACTCCCCAGTGAAATCGGGTTGGTCCCTTCTCTTCTGTCCTTTAGAAAAAAGCTTAAATCATAGTTATAGGACCAAGCATTCGAGCAACAAACACAGCAATAATAATGCATATTATTCCATTGACTATGAGTTTGAATGTGGATTTGGACTTGGATTTGTTAACTTTTAAATGAATATTTTAATCTACTGTTTAGTTAATACTTTAATTGTGATTTTATTGCTATTGTTTGTATGGCATCTAATGATTGCTGGTTGTAAGCTGCCCTGAGTCCCCCTT